GGCAGATGGGACCTCGGTTTAACTTCTCATCTGAAGGGTGGCACCTCCGACAATGCAACACACCCCCAGCACTGCAAAGAAGTGTCATCTTAGACTATATCTGCCAGCCAATGGTGGACGGATAGAGTGGGGATCATGAAGCAGGCTGGTGCTCCCTGAGAGAAGAGGATGGCCAAGTGGTATGGTTGAAGAAGGTTACAGAGGTAGGGTGGAGCAAGACCATGGAGGGATTTCAAGATAGGAATGAACATTTTGAACTCAAAATAATAATAATAATCCTTGCATTTGTTACAGCCCCTTTCACATCAAGAGAATGTCTCAAAGCGCTTCATATGGTTCACTGTAAAGGGATTGTATTTTTGTAAATAAACACAGCAGCCAATTTTCACACAGCAATGTTCCTCAAATAGCCAATTTCACTTTGGGGATTGTTGGCCAGGGTAACAGAGAACTCCCTTCTTTTTTTGAATAGTTTCATGGGATCTTTAAAGTCCACTTGAACAGAACCTCAGTTTAGTGTCTTATCCAAAGGACAGCACTCCTGGCTACGTAACGCTCTCTCCGGTATCGCACTGGGATATCAGTCCCAGTGAGTTCAAAGTACCAATGTTATGGGGTTTGAACCCACAAGCTTCTGACTCAGGGGGAAGAGTACCACCAACTGAGCTATGCTGACACATTGTCAATGGCAAAAATACTGAAAATAAATATAGTGTGAGGTTAGCAAAGCAATGTCACATGCTAATGCTGCTGGAACGCTATGCCGGTTTGGAACATTCTTGACTCATAATCATCATCAGTACTTGGGAGTTTGGCCAGTTTTAAATCTTGTTGTAAGAGCCAGACCACTTTTAAACACTGGTCATTAAATTGCCAAATAACGTGTCTAAAATGTGACCATTATCTAATGCCTCTCCCACACCCATAGCCATCACAATCCCATTACTACCTTGTACTTCCATTTCCACATAATGGCATTTCCCTTACTTACATTAGCTAGTGCCGAAGAAAGTGGGAAAAAGACACTTTAGAAAAATTATATTTTCAATTGCCAAGTAATCACAGACATTAGATTCAGAGGCATTTTAACGTTCTATTGACGACAGCTAAAAATGTGAAAGTCAGGGCAATTACCCATAGCTACTTTATGAGCAAAAAGCAAAGAAAATGTAAATCAGTTGAAATATGAAAGGCCTTTGCTTCCATAAACCCATGTAAATAAAGAGCAAGTCAGGAAGACTTAGGAGCAGTCATATCGGCACATCATAGTCCTGTAGCTCAGTGGTTAGAGCACTCGCCTTGCAAGTAAGAAACTTGGGTTCCCGGCAGGGTGATATCTTGGGCAAGTTTTCTTACTCAACACGCCTGATAATAATCCCTCAAGATAAAAAAAACAATAATAAATTGGTCACTTCAATCCACGACTGTCTGTGGGACACTGCTGTGCGTAATTGGCGGCTGTATTTTGCCCACAAATATACAGTCAATTCACTTTACAGTATATTCTGTGAAGCGCCTTGAGACATCTAGAAGACGTGAAAAGCCCCATATTAAATGTAAGGATTATTATATTATTATCACCTGTTAGCCTTTTGGTCCTGTGTTGGTTTTACACACCTCAATCTCCTTCGTGTTCTCTATCGATGTTGAGTTCATAGTTGAGTTGAGGCTGATACTCTAGTGCAGTACTGAGGATGCTTTGTGTTGTCAGAGGTTCACCCACCCTTCACATACAATGTTAAATCAAGGTCCAGTCTGCCTGTTCAGGTAGATGTTAAAGACCCTTTAGCACTGTTTGAAAAGGGAAGGAAATGTCTCCTGGTGTCCTGGTCAACAATCCTTCAAATAAATTTGTTTACTTCTTGGCTAATTGTGAGACCTACTGTGGACAAATTGGCTACTGGTTCATCTCCTCATACTGAAGATAAAAATTTCCTGTGAAGAGATTTGAGACATTTTGGCGATGTAAATGCTATATCAAATGTCAGGAAATATTTGCATTCCCATTTTTTTCTCGGGAGTTTGTAATCTATCATCTGATTTTTGTTTAGCTGGTAAGCCAAGAAGTAACATTTTGTTTGAATCATCCTGTCATTTTCTCCTCTCCTATTCTGAAAGTGCTGACTTGTTTGCCATCCAGCAACTTTCATAGGAGGCCATTTTTCATCTTTACTAGACAGAAAGTGTCAACAGGCTGTTTGGGGCAATCACAGCTAAACCAGGGACGTTCTCATCCTTTGTCTATATGTACCATTTTGTTCCCATATTCCAAATTTTACCACAAACAGAAGGGTGGCCAATGCTAATGCTCTAAACAATATGCATAAAAATTCTAGTTTAAGCATGGTGATGGTTTCCACTTTTGTCAGACAATCACCCATCTGACTAAAAACATCTTGTTTTAAGAAGAGGGAATAAAATTAAGATTATCATACAGAAAAAACTACTGAAACTTGGTTTTCACTCCACCAGGCAACCATTCTCCCCACCAAATCAGAGTACCAAATCGTCAAAAGATGAGGTGGACTCATTTCCTTACATCACAACCATACAAGCAAGTCATGCGGCTAGATCTCCTCTCCGACCTGAGCAAGCCTGGTCTGAGCCTTGTGACCAACGGCTCAAGGTTCCCTCCTTGTGAGAACGGATCAACCTTCTCAGAATCGGCAGCGCTACAATATTGATTCCATCCAATAGAGAGCTGAGGGCTAGACTGATCCGAGACATCAAAGGGAGACCACAAAGAGGGAATTGCACAATCAGAGGAGTAACTGAGAAGAACAGATACTACACTTGATCGTAGGCAACAACAACAACAAAATTACTTTTCTATAGCGCCTTTCACTTCGGGAGGACGTCCCAAGGCGCTGGACAGACAGAGTTTCAGAACCGAGCTGGGGCTAGTGGTTGAAGGCACGGCCGCCGATGGTGGAGTGGAGGATTTGGGGGACGAGGAGGAGGCCAGACCCAGTGGAGCAAAGGCAACAGGCACTGTTGTGAGGAGAGAGGAGGTCAGAGAGGTAGGGGGGTGCAGAGGAGTGGAGGGATTTGAAGACAAGGGTGAGGATCTTGAAGTCGATCCTCTCTGGAACAGGCAGCCAGTGCAGTCTGGCAAGGACTGGGGTAATTTGAAGGTGAGAACCGGGATCTTGAACTGTATCTTCTGTGTGATGGGAAGCCAATGGGGTCGGGCGAGGGTGAGGGTCACGGAGCCTGGTGCGGGAGAGGACACGGGCTACAGAGTTCTGGATGATCTGCAGCCTATAATAATAATAATAATAATCCTTGCATTTGATATAGCGCTTTTCACATCGGGAGGACATCCCAAAGTGCTTCACAGAACACACTGTAAAGTGAATTGACTGTATATTTGTGGGCGAACGCGGCAGCCAATTGCGCACAGCAATGTCCCACAAACAGTTGTAGATTGAAAATGACCAATTTAATTATTGTTTTTGGTTTTTTGGAGGGATTATTATTAGGCGTGTATAGTAAGGAAACTTGCCCAAGGTTTCGCCCTGCCGGGAATTGAACTCAGGTCTCTCACTTGCAAAGCGAGTGCTCTAACCACTGAGCTACAGGACTCCACATGGAGGGAAGAGTTAGGGAGATTGACAAGCATGGAGTTTGCATATTCGAGCCTCAATGTAATGAAAGCATGTATGAGGGTTTCAGTGGCCTGTGGTGTGAGACAGCGGTGGAATTGTGCGATGTTGCGGAGGTGGGGAAGTCAGAGCGGGTCATGGCACAGATGTGGGGTAGAAAGGATAGTTGAGGGTCAAACAAGACCCTCAAGGTCAAACAAGACAAAGTTCCAGTCTGGCTGAGCAAGGTGACAAAAGGCTGAGAAGCAATATATGCAATGCCCTCTCCCCCCACCCCAGAAAAAAATAACGGTTGTTGGAGAATCTTTTAAGTGTCTCATATGAAGGAGGGAACCTTGAACATGTGGGGTTTAAACCCACCCTTGTGACTCCGGCCGAGAGTGCTACGAAGTGAGCCAGCCTGATACCATCTACAACAACAAATAGCATTGGCATCAAAGTGGTCCTGTAGCTCAGTGGTCAGAGCTAGCGAAAGACCTGGGTTCAATTCCCAGGCAGGGCGAAACGTTGGGCAAGTTTCCTTACTCCACCCGCCTGTTTACCTAGCAGTAAGTAGGAATCCGGTTGTTAATCAATTGACGGATCGCTTTTCCGAGGGTAACAATTCCTTCAAACAAAAATGAATTGGTCACTGAATCGAAGACGATGTGGGACACTGCTGTGCGCAATCGACTGCCATGCTTCACCCACAAAAACAGTCAATTCACTTTACAGTGTATTGTAAAGTGAATGCAAGCGAATATATAAATGCAAGTTGTTGTTGTTCTTATATTCTGGGAAGCGCTTTGAGACGATGCGAAGATGTAATAAGGCGCTATATCCAATGCAAGGATTATTATTTATATCGTGGCTTTCACATCACTAACTTACATACATATTTACCAGTGAATCAATATTTAAATACGTATTTATTGAAATATATTATACTTATATATTTAAGTAGATATATAAATGTCAAACAATAAAAAAATAAATGAGGAGTCCTGCAGCTCAGTGGTTAGAGCACTCGCTTTGCAAGCGAGAGACCTGAGTTCAATTCCAGGCAGAGGGCGAAACCTTGGGCAAGTTTCCTTACTCCACACAGAGCCTAATAATAATCCCTCCAAAACCAAAAACAATAATAAATTGGTCATTTTCAATCCACTACTGTTTGTGGGACATTGCTGTGCGCAATTGGCTGCCGCGTTCGCCCACAAATATACAGTCAATTCACTTTACAGTGTGTTCTGTGAAGCGCTTTGGGACGTCCTCCCGACGTGAAAAGCGCTATATCAAATGCGAGGATTATTATTATTATTATTATTATTATGAAGCTATGTGAATGAGAGATGCTCTGAGTGACAGCTCAGCTTCACGGTCACGTGGGGGGAGGGGTGGAGCCGAGGGTACGTGCCTCCCGCCTGGACGTGCGTCATGACACGGGTGAGCGTGAGGGCGGATGACGACAGCGCGTCCTTGGCGGCGGTGGGCAGAGGGTGGAACCAGGCGCCATGGAGACCGCGCGCGTGTCGGCTTTCGCTATTTATCGGGGGATTGCGGGTCAGGGAGCCGGGGAGGTGAGTGTCTGCCCCCGACCCCCGGCCAGGCCCGGCCCCGGGAACAGGCACAGTGCAGCCGCGACTCCGGGTCAGCAGCGCCGTCAGACTGTTCATAACACCCGCCCCTGACACCACGTGTCCGGCCTCCTGGTCTGGAGCCACTGTGAGTTAACACTAACCCCACACTACCCCCTCCCCACTACCCCCTCCCCACTACCCCCCTCCCCACTACCCCCCTCCCACTACCCCCTCCCCACTACCCCCCCCACCACCCCCCACACCCCTCCCCACTACCCCCCCTCCCCACTACCCTCCCCACTACCCCTCCCCACTACCCCCCCACTACCCTCCCCACTACCCCCCCCACTACCCCCCTCCCCACTACCCCCCACACCACCCCCAACTACCCCACTACCCCCTCCCACTACCCCCCTCCCCACTACCCCTCCCCACTACCCCTCCCACTACCCCTCCCCACTACCCCCTCCCACTACCCCCCACTACCCCCCTCCCACTACCCCCCCCACACCCCCCTACCCCCACTCCCCCTACCCCCCTCCCCACTACCCCCCCACTACCCCCTCCCCACTACCCCTCCCCACTACCCCCCTCCCACTACCCCCCCCCACTACCCCCCTCCCCACTACCCCCTCCCCACTACCCCTCCCACTACCCCCTCCCCACTACCCCCCTCCCCACTACCCCCCCACTACCCCTCCCACTACCCCTCCCCACTACCCCCCTCCCCACTACCCCCCCCCCACTACCCCCCTCCCCACTACCCCCCCTCCCCACTACCCCCCTCCCCACTACCCCCCCTCCCACACTGGCTGCAGATCATCCAAAACTCTGAGCTCTGTCTCTCGCACACCAGGCTCCGTGACCCCATCACTCCACCTCGCCCAACTCCACTGGCTCCCCATCCCAGAGGATCGAATTCAAGATCCTCGTCCTCACCTTTAAGGCCATCCATGGCCTTGCCCCCTCTTACCTCTCTGACCTGCTGACTCCCTACCAACCTGCCCGCTCCCTCCGTTCAGTGGGCTCCAGTCTGCTCCATGTCTCCCGCCCGACCCGCCCTACCATCGGTGGTCGGGCTTTCAGCCTCTCTGCCCCCACACTCTGGAACTCCATCCCACAGTCCCTTCGCCTCGCTTCCTCCCTTGTCTCCTTCAACCGGTCTCAAGACCCTCCTCTTCGACCGTGCCTTTGGTCGCCCTCCCACCTCTCTGCCTTCCCTCACCCCTACACCACCCCTCCCCTATACTCAGGCCCTGACTCCTGACTGTTCAGCGCTTTGGGATGTCCTCCCAACGTGAAAGGCGCTCTATAAATGTAATTTTGTTGTTGTGTTCCAGATTTTAGTGTCTGGATCTTGCTTGTTTCTATGAGGATATAAAACTTAATCTTATTTTTTTACAAAATGTAAAACTTTCCTAGCTTAAGATGCAATTTTGGGATTTATATCCGTAAATAAAATAATCATTTCATGCACAGCAGAAGTCAACGAAGTATTGTGTTCATATGTTGCTGAAATTGATACTGGCTTCCTTTTTATTTACTGATCAATGACCATTTATCTCAGGGCAATGGACATGCAGATGAGACGTGTAACGAAAAGCAAAAGAGTCAAAATGGTTTGCAGTTGTGCAGAAAGAGCAAAAATATCAAAAGAAAACAAAGACATTTAATTGTTAAAGCCAAATGCCTTGTGGCCCCTGTATCTATCATGGAAGATAATGAAATAATACAAAGATACCATAGTGCTGGAATAAAGATTGCAGAAAAGAAGAGTAAATCGGTCACGAAAATTACCAAGAAGATGAATTTGAAGCCAAAGAAAGTCCACCGAAAGCATAGTGATACTCTTGCGTCAATAATGACCACTTCAACCACCAAGATTAAATCCTCCAGTAAGGTGAGTCTCACTAAATACAAGGTGACTACATTGTAAGGTGTCCCATTTTAGCACAAGTCTGTTTCACCCACAAAACATACAGTTAATTCACTTTACAGTATATTCTGTGCCCTGTGATCCTGTGAAGCGCTTTGAGATGTCTTGAAGATGTGATAAGGCGCTTTTATCAAATGCAAAGTTTATTATTATTATTATCATCATCATCTTGACCTCAAACATCTTTCATGTTCCAGTTGTTAATTATCATATGGATAAAGAAATACTTCCTGGAGAATGTCCTGAAATTTCCCTTTGCAACCCTAAACCTGTGTCCTCTTGTTCTGCTTTCTCGGTGTATCCTAAATGTACGCCATTCTTTATTTATGTATTTATTAATACAAAATTACAGTTGTATAGCGCTTTTCACGTCAGGAGGACGTCCCTCCACATTGCATGTCACTAAAGTGTTTCCTGTGAGGCGCTGTCTAAATAGGTTGTGTTGAAGTTGAGGGTCCAGGTCGCTATGTTGTTTCAATTGTTTCTAATAATGGTGTAAGTTATGACCGTTTCTGACATTTTCACTTTCCATTGAAAGCCTTCAACTGGCTCTGGGTTTTGGTAATTGGCGGTCAATTTTAAAATAATTTTCAGGTTGATTTGAACCCAGCTATTGAAGCTTGTTGAGGAGGCTCTCTGACGTGTAAGAAACTGTTCACCAGTGTGGGAGGAGGTTTGAGGTGTGTAACGCTGGGTGGGTTGGTTGGTTGGTTGGTTGGTTGGTGCTGGGGCTCTGGAGTGAGCTGTGCCCTGTGAGCTATGTTTGATGGAGGTTTGAGGTGTGTAACGCTGGGTGGTTGGGTTGGTTGGTTGGTGCTGGGGCTCTGGAGTGAGTTATGTTTGATGGGGGTTTGAGGTGTGTAATGCTGGTTGGGTGGGTTGGTTGGTTGGTTGGTGCTGGGGCTCTGGAGTGAGCTGTGCCCTGTGAGCTATGTTTGATGGAGGTTTGAGGTGTGTAACGCTGGGTGGGTTGGTTGGTTGGTTGGGTTGGTTGGTTGGTGCTGGGGCTCTGGAGTGAGTTATGTTGATGGAGGTTTGAGGTGTGTAACGCTGGGTGGGTTGGTGGGTTGGTTGGTGCTGGGGCTCTGGAGTGAGCTATGTTTGATGGAGGTTTGAGGTGTGTAACGCTGGGTGGGTTGGTTGGTTGGTTGGTGGGTTGGTTGGTGCTGGGGCTCTGGAGTGAGTTATGTTTGATGGAGGTTTGAGGTGTGTAACGCTGGGTGGGTTGGTGGGTTGGTTGGTGCTGGGGCTCTGGAGTGAGCTATGTTTGATGGAGGTTTGAGGTGTGTAACGCTGGGTGGGTGGGTTGGTTGGTTGGTGGGTTGGTGCTGGGGCTCTGGAGTGAGTTATGTTTGATGGAGGTTTGAGGTGTGTAACGCTGGGTGGGTGGGTTGGTTGGTTGGTGGGTTGGTGCTGGGGCTCTGGAGTGAGCTATGTTTGATGGAGGTTTGAGGTGTGTAACGCTGGGTGGGTTGGTTGGTTGGTTGGTGGGTTGGTGCTGGGGCTCTGGAGTGAGCTGTGCCCTGTGAGCTATGTTTGATGGAGGTTTGAGGTGTGTAACGCTGGGTGGGTTGGTTGGTTGGTTGGTGCTGGGGCTCTGGAGTGAGCTATGTTTGATGGAGGTTTGAGGTGTGTAACGCTGGGTGGGTGGGTTGGTGGGTTGGTTGGTTGGTGCTGGGGCTCTGGAGTGAGTTATGTTTGATGGAGGTTTGAGGTGTGTAACGCTGGGTGGGTTGGTTGGTTGGTGGGTTGGTGCTGGGGCTCTGGAGTGAGCTATGTTTGATGGAGGTTTGCGGTGTGTAACGCTGGGTGGGTTGGTTGGTTGGTTGGTGCTGGGGCTCTGGAGTGAGCTATGTTTGATGGTGTTGCCGGGGGAACACGGAGCCTTTGTAGTGCAGAGAATTTTGGGTATTGGGCTCATTTTCAGTGGATGTTTTCACTTCGTACCCCTCCCCGTGCCGTCTGCCACCCTGTGATTCCGGATCGACGGTGGTTTGTGGGTTCAATTAATTTGGCCGTATTCTGGGTGCGTGGAGAGAAAAGGCAAAAGGAGTGCGGGTCTGGTCACGTGATCCGAACAGCGACATTTGAGAAGTCTTTCTGTGAAAACCGATGGGACTGCCCTGTGCCTGAAGCCACGTCTGACAATTAATCCGGGTCTCCGCGCACACAACATAACTTCTCTATGTCACCCAGGCTGTGATATCTCAATTTAATGTACTTGATATCACGAAGGAGTATTGGAAGGCCTTTGGTTGTTAACTAATTAAGAGCTCCACACAGATGGCACTAAGTATTGAGGCAAGTTCAAACATTATGGACGCTTTTCCCCATTTGCAGAAGTGGCTCTGAGTTTTATAATAATAAATAATAATCCTTGCATTTGATATAGCACTTTTCACATCTTCTAGACGTCTCAACACGCTTCACAGTAAAGTGAATTGACTATATTTGTGGGAGAAACACGGCAGCCAGTTGTGCACAGCAGTGTCCCACAAACAGTTGTGGATCGAAGTGACCAATTTATTTTGTTTCTTGAGCGATTATTATCAGGCGTGTGGAATAAAGAAACTCGCCCAAGGTTTCACCCGGCCAGGAATCGAACCCAGGTCTCTCGCTTGCTAGGCGAGTGCTCTAACAACGGAGCTACAGGACTCCACAGGACATCTCAAAGCATTTCACAGGATATACTGTCAAGTGAATTGACCATATATTTGTGGGCGAAACGCGGCAGCCAATTGCGCACAGCAGTGTCCCTACAAACAGTCATGGATTGAGGACCAAATTATTATTTTCTTTTCTTGAGGAAGTATTATCAGGATTGTGGAGTAAGGCGCCTTGGGACATCCTCCCGATGTGAATGGCACTATACAATTGTAATTTTGTTGTTGTTGTAAGGAAACTTGCTCAAGGTTTCAACCTGCCAGGAATTGAACCCAGGTCTCTTGCTTGTGAGGCGAGTGCTCTAACCACTGAGGTATAGAACTCCGCTAGGTACCTATTCCAGGTTTCAGTACCTGGAGGTCAATTTAAAATATTTGTTGGGTTGATTTGAACCCAGATATAAAAGCTTGTTGCAGAGGTTGGGCGAGGTGTAAGAGCACTGGTACTCGTTTTCTATATGTTCTATATAGGCAGCCCTCTATTCCTTGATCTAATAACCACCACTTTTACACTGTACAGGTCTACCAGCAACTGCACTCCTGCTGTTGCTTGTTGACCAGTAAATGCCATGGCTGAACACTTTTACAGTATGCTCTGACTCTGTGGTGAGTAGCTAAAGAGTCGGTGGTGGCAATTTTTCATTCTACACCTTCACATAATTTTTAAGCAATGCTCCAATATCACTGCCACTGCCACTGTTATACTGCAGCCAATGGCCTTATTTAAACATAATCCACTCTGGCCATCCTTCATATGTCATCGCATGCTGCATGACGGATTATTTCAACTGTACATTGCGGGGAGCTCCAACAATGCAGCCCTCCGACATTGCAGCAGTCCCCCAGTTGGGCAGTGGAATGTCTGCCTAAAATATGAGGTGAAGTCTCAGGACCTTCTGACACAGAGTGTGACTTACTGAGCCAACCAGACATTGATACCAGATTTAATTAAAGGTAAATCATTTTTTAAAAAAGAATGGAACTGGCAACAAAGCAGAAATTTAGCATGCTATGGAATAGTAGCACCCCAGTTCAAATCTGGGATATTGATAAATTCCCAATCTCAGTTGTGATGGGCTCATTGTGGAAGGGATGGGGAGAATTTGAAGGAGACATCACTGAGGCACTCAATAGCGACCACTTCAAGGCTGGCACTTAAGGCTGACACATCAATAATACAATGCTGCGAATATGTTGCATTGTCAGAGGTGCTGCCCTTCAGATGGACCATTAAACCAATCTTCTACCCATTCAGGTGGATGGGGAGTTTCCTCGTGTCCTAGCCAACAATCCCCTAGATAAAACACAATAGTCATTTATTTCATGTCTGTTAGTGGGTCATTGGAAAATTGGTTGCTTGCAAATTATTATTATTATCCTTGCATTTGATATAGCGCTTTTCATGTTTTCTAATAATAATAATAATAATAATCCTTGCATTTGATATAGCGCTTTTCACGTCAGGAGGACGTCCCAAAGCGCTTCACAGAACACACTGTAAAGTGAATTGACTGTATAATTGTGGGCAAACGCGGCAGCCAATTGCGCACAGCAATGTCCCACAAACAGTCGTAGATTGAAAATGACCAATTTATTATTGTTTTTGGTTTTTGGAGGGATTATTATTAGGGCTCTGTGTGGAGTAAGGAAACTTGCCCAAGGTTTCGCCCTCTGCCTGGAATTGAACTCAGGTCTCTCGCTTGCAAAGCGAGTACTCTAACCACTGAGCCACAGGACTCCAGACGCTTTCTAGACCTCTCAAAGCGCTTCACAGAATATACTGTAAAGTTAATTGACTGTATATTTGTGAGTGAAATGTGGCAGTCAATTGCGCACAGCAGTGTCCCACAAACAGTCATGGATTGAAGTGACCAATTTATTATTTTTTCTTGAGGGATTATTATTATTAATAATATAATACTGTTAGTAATAAAAATTCACATTAACAAAGAAGGAAAAAAATTAACGCTAGATTTTTTTTACATATTGAGTCATATGATTATGGAACCGACAGCAGTCTTAGCAATGCTATTGCATTATAAGGAAAAAGATTTCTTCCCTGTAACCTGGCAATAGTTTCTTCAATTCAATCAAACATGTAACTGATTTATAATATTTTTATAATCTATATAATATGATATATACAATCACTACACTTTTACTCTTGACCTATTTTGAAAAGTTTCAATATTTGTTGCTATAACAAATGTAACAATTATTATAAGAATATTTTATGTCTGCAAAGTTGTGACTTGCACTTGTTTAACAGAATCTAGTCTCCGAATGTGATTATCATTGAATAGTTTTATCATTGTGTTTATGTTCATTCCAACAATGAGTGCAGTAATTTATAAGCTAAAACGAATATTGATTCCACTGTTCTTGTCAATCTAGATCAAAGCTCAGATAGTTCCATTGAAAGTGACCAGCGGCTATATCTGCACGATTTCTTTCAAAAATACAGTAAAACTCACATATGTTGTATGTTTATAAAACATAAAATCGCCTAAGTCGTACATGCCCCCGAGTCCCATTCAGTTTTGCCCACAAAATATACAGTCAATTCACTTTACAGTATATTCTGTGAAACGCTTTGAGACACCTCAAAGATGCAAGGATTATTATAGTTTCCTATCTAAATCACTTAGATTTCTTTTGTACTAGTTGTATTGATCATTCTCTAACTCGTAACACCGCTCTCCTATCTTCCATTACTCCCGCACTTACTGGCTGCAATGAATCGTGCAAAATGACGTCCTGACCCTCAACACATGTGCACTTACCAGCCAGCTGTATTGAATCACGGAAACATAGTCTTGCCTCTTTGCCGGATCTGCATTTCCAATGATCCAATTCTGGCCGATAAGTATGCATGCAGCGATGGGTCAGGATGTCATTTCCCGCGATTCAATGCAGCCGCATGTGAACTTATCAGCCGCATTGACAAAGTATTGCATGTGGATTTACCTATTACATTGAATCACGCATGTGCAGATTATTGATTATATTGGATTTTATACGATTTATACAAGTTTACCTGTAACTTGAACTTCACGTAAGTTATTAAATGGTCCCGACTAATATGACTTGCTTGTGTTTTACTGTATTTCAACCATAAAGGATTGTTTATTGCCTCAAATTAGTTGTAAATTTTGCTGCAGACACAGGTAAAAGTAAATTTGCATTGTTTGTTTTTGAATACACCTTAGCCCTAGATAGCCCTATTTAGATAACAAATTGTTATATTAATCAGAAAAAAAACACGACTGGAACTATTAAAACCAATGCAAGTACACTTGTATAGCATCCCTTCATGTCGGGACAGACCCCCTTCCCTTCCCCGGTGGGATGTTGGAAGTCAGGATACCCATTTTAACTTCAAAAAACATTGTTCTAGGTCTTTCACATCAGTACAGTATAGCTTTTGTAATTTGTCAACTTTATAAGTATAGAATAGATACCAATATTGGTAATTGGTAGCTCTCAGATCTATGTTTGGATCCAGACCAAAGAGATTTTTTATGGCTGTCAAAGAAAGAGTTTTAAGTGAAATAAGTTTTGTGTATTCTGACTGTCTCTGCAAATGTAAAATAAAATTGCTTGTAATTCAGCAAAGATTGGCAACCTCATTTGCCTTGATCATTAGAATGGTTGATTTTGGAAAGTCAGAAAATACTGCAGTGGGCAATTCTATTCAGAGCTTGGGATTAAAGCTCACAGAAGCAACAGTCCACTCAGTTGCTATGAGAGCTTAAGACGTATATGACGTATGGGAGTAATAGCTTCCAAAATTAGTCAAAGCAATGTATTTAAACTAATGTATAGGTTAATGTGGATATAATAGGTTTGCAAACATACTTAGATAGCGGTAGGTATTCTTCAATTGCAAATACTCATTCACAAGTATCATTTTATTGACTTAACTGCAGACCGTTGATGCTTGATTCCAAAGAACTTGCTTTTAATAACCTCCATTATTGGTAATATCTGGGGTAATGCTGTACATATTCCATTAAACAACAATTTTGGGAAAAGTGAATTTCTTAAAGAGCCAATGTTCTGTTCTGTTTTTTTTTGTAAAACACTTGACTTGGTAATAGAGGAATGGCCTTAATCTTTCCATGATTTGTTTTGGTATTTAAAGTCACAAGAACTAACATCTACGGGAATTGGGATTGCACGTGAATTATCATCACTATTCGTGGAGTTAGATCAAATAAGCAACAGCAAGGAGAGAGCAAGCAGACTCTTTGAATGGCTCATAGAACCTGTCACCACAAAGGAATTTTTCAGGTAGGGAGAAGGAGTTGTGGAATAATTGTGAAGTATTACTACATGAAGTGTTCTATGTTTAAAGTAACCAGCCCAGAATAACTCCTTTCAGCCTCAGTAAGGTGGATTAAACTAACTGCAGATATCATTTTACACATTTTGGATTCAGTGCATTTTTTTAAAAAAAAGAGACAATGCATGTTTACAGAACAGCATTTATAAAGGCCAGAAAGATGGTTGCCTGCCTGCCCTCTTGTACATAAATGACCTTTGGTACAAGGTAACTCTTCGAGGACAGAGTGGGAGGAAATGCTAGATTTTGTTAGCGACATGTTGATAGAACAGTGGAAGCTAGTTAACATCAGGCGGCGGGTAAATTGGACAAAACGCCCGGCCCTAATTCATTTGTATTCTTACCTGTTTAAATATGCTGGTTGATTTGGACCAAAATCCAATTAATCCGGGGAAAATGCCACTGGTTGGCACTGCAACAACTCACTCGTGCATTTTGTGTCTCGAGCGGCTCCATTCAGCCACGAGTCGCTCCGGTACAAGATGGGAGGAGCCAAATTGAGATTGATAGCGGACTCCAGGGGGAGGGGAGGAGGAACGGGGGGAAAAAATGGGGAGGGAATGGGAGGAGTCCCAATCACCTTGGACCCAACATTAATTGTTCCCCTTCCCATCCAGTGGGAATGAGGAGGTGCTCCACTGCTGGGCGGGAAGAAGTAAGGGAACTTCGGTTAACCTCGGACGACGCTTAAACTGCAAAATTTAAACAGGACAAAACATCCGGTCCTGATGTGTCTGATTTAAGTGGCTTCCACTGTATTTCTACTTTTTTAACTCAAATGCTTGAAGATGACATAATTTAGATTTGGAAGGACTTGTATTTTGATTTGGTTAAATTGGCCAAGTTGGTTACAAGTACAGTAGTAGCTGGTAACTGAAAATGTGTATGACAAAACCAAAGAGATTAAAAAATGTCTTTTGTCCTTCATTTGGGATTTTTAAAAAGTGTCTGTGGATCAAAGCCTTGATTTTTTTCAATATGTATGGATTTCTCAATTGCAGTGAAATGTGGGAAAAGAAGCCAGCTATAATTAGCCGGGCCATGGCAGATTACCACAAGACACTGTTCTCCACGGAAGAGTTTGACAGGATTCTGAAAGAGGTAAACGCTCAACATTCACTCCCTTCATTTCACAGCTCTGAGTGAAATAAATTAGTCAGTGTCAAAAAATGGACTGCTGGCACAAAAATCTGGTATCTTATTTTACAATGGAAGTAGTAGCAATGTTGAAAATGTTTTTTTTATTGGGGGGTAGGGAAATTGATTAAATGCATCAAGGGTCAAAACATTGGTCTCTCACTTGGAACTTATAAATACAGTAATTTAAAACTATTTTAAACTGGTTTATAATTTACCAGATCACTTCACACTCATTCCTACAATATAATTCTGATGCAAGTGCAGCACTTTCACATGTTGAACGATAATAATAATAATAATAATCCTTGCATTTGAATAGTGTTCTTATCTAAACTTTACCTGAAGACAAACACTCCTCATGCCAATATTTCAAGAAAAACTATTCTATTTCTAAACTTGTGTAGGAGGTTATTCCTCTACAATTGCAGTATTTCTGCACTAAAGTGAAAATGCTCGTACTTTATACAATTTAATAAAAAAAATTCTTGTGCCTTTGTAACCATGTAGTGTACAAAGCATAAGCAGTACTTGTCCATCTGGGACCCCGCTACCTGTTGGGGCTTTAGTTCAAGCTCGCAAGCACCAGGACTATACTATACTTCCATGTGTCAACCATCTGTTGCCTTACTACAGACCATCGGTCATGAATGCATTCTTAGAATTAGTTCAGTCTAAGAGAGATCCAGTTTACCTCATTCCCCCCCCACATATCAATCGTGCCATTATAGAAATAATAGAACCATAGTAATAATTGTAGTGCTTAGTAACAATACAGCTTCATAAAAATAATCACTGATCTACATTCTACTTAATTCTAAATTGTTCAGCTTGAGCAAACAAGGATAATTGCTTTTGAATATAAATTATTCTCATAATCTGTGTGCAAATGAGATTTTTAAAGTTTTTTTTTAAAAAAAGCAGATTCCAGATTGGCAATTCTGTGGACTTTTAATTTCACATAGAAAGTGGCACATTGGATTTGGCAATCACTTTTTAAATCCAGACGTTTCCTAGTGATTTAATGTTGCTGGATATCAGAGAAATTAAACTGCATCTATTACAAACACTCCTTTACAAATTAATTTTGTCATTTCAAAAGGAATGTGTACTATTTAACGTGAACTTGGATGTAACCAGTTATTTCAACGGAAAAAAAGAAAACCATAACATTCCTGGCAGGGCATATCCCGTTGTGGTGTGGGACTTTTATAAGGTAAGTGATAGCAAAGTTGAAAATATTTGTTTATTGGCAGGAGGGAAATTGCTCAACTGCACCAAAGGTCAGAACATTGGTCTCTCATTTGGGATTTATCCCATTGTTAATCTAATTGTGCTTGTTATGTTGCTGTACTTTGTCAGTTGGAGTATCAAGACAAGTATAAATGTGGGAGGTGAGCTAGTCTCCTTCATCGGTCAAGCACTCGTTTTGGAATGTCATCTAATGCTGGGTTTATAAAGTCCATTCTCCCAACATTTATATTAAAATCTAGTTTTTTTCTAGGTTTTTGCTCCGCCTGTAACATAGAGCCCGGTATTGTGTTTTGCTGACCAACTGCTACCCAATTAACAATAGCAAAGCCTTAAAACTACATCTGAACATCAGACAGCTCTTCTCAGCCTTATTATTTTCCTTTTTTGTGCCCTTTAGGTAACTGTTGATCAGGAAAAACATTGTGGAGGATTCCAAACATGTTCAGTCGCATTATGTTATGTTGTATTTGCATATATGAAATGATAAAGAACTATCACTGTAGTCTTGTGCATATCCTGACCATACTATATTTACCTTATATCTCCAGGATGAGAAAGAGCAGACTTGCTAACAATCCAGCTCTGCTGCAATGAGTTTGCTATTCCACAGTTTTTAGCATGTGGCTTTGTTGTTTCAAATCCTTGATGTGTTCCTTCAAGATTGTCCTTTCCTCATGCTTATTCCACACTAGAATCTATGCACAAGGATGCAATGATTTTACTGCCTAACTTTGACAGCGACAATGTAAACACCAAATTGTTTACATTGGGGTACTCTAGTGCTGAAATCTAAAAGCAGTAAAAGATCACCAATAAAGAGTGCTCGATTGTCAGTCGCTCCACTTTTGCTCTTCTCCTCCTGCCACTGAAGGGATAGGGCAAATGTGGAATAAGATGGGGAAGATTCTAAAAATTCCTCACATACTGTGCTGTCTGGAGCTACATATGAATATAGAACTGTATAGAATAGCAATAAAAGAGTAAAAGGTGGATTGTTTAACTTCAAACTAAAATTACATTGTTATACTGTTTTCGAAGAACAGTCAAGATGTCTGTTGATGCCAATTTCCTTTTTTTAAAAAACATTTTTTTGTTGACAGAATGGTTGTTCTTTAAGGATGCTGAATCCTCAAGCCTTTTCCCTTAACTTGTGGAAGGTAATGTCCATTCTCCAGGAGTTTTTTGGGAGCATGGTCGGAGCCAATATGTAAGTCTGTTTTCTTCAGGTTGATATTGTCATTATGGTTTTGGAGACTTTGGCAAGGCTAATCTTGGGATACTAGTTCTGTTTGAACCTGCTCCAACTCTGTTTGGCTTGAATGCTTGAGATTCAAAGTAGCCTAAGACTCACAGAGCAGAATTTCTGATAGTGTGCATAGTGGATTGTTCTGGCTTGAGGCCTCTGATCTCCAAGAATGCAGGTCTGAAAGGGAGCCTGATACCTCCAGTGCTCCATGTCAGAGAACATGGCAGTCACTTGCTGTGCTGATTGCCTCTAAAGATGGAATAAAGGGCCATCTCAGCATCAGCAGTATTGGCTGCCTTAGCTTACACTCTTCTCAGACATCATAGCTGTTGCCATTGACTGCTCTACAAGCTAAGAGGAGGCTGAGGGAGGCATCTGATTTTGGGCTGTTTAGATGCCAAGTTCATAATAACTTAATGGAAACTACAGGGCTGGAAGCCACCAGCACATTCGGCACTCATTGGTAGTAGCAAAAATAAGTTGTGTCTTTTTGCTTGTAGCCAGGTGACAGGGCTGCTATTGGCATTCAACCCTAACCAAAACTAGGCATAATTGCACTGTGAGTCCACTCCTGCTAGCTAAATTTAGTTTCCAAATTGTTATTAAGAGTGGATTGTTCTGGCTTGGGATCCTCTGATCTCCAGGAATGCCTATAGTACAGGAGAATTTCATCTCATCAGTTATTGGTTGGATTCTAACTGGTCCCAGAAGTCAAATGCTAACTAATTCTCTGTAGCCCACTTTCAATGTAATATTTTGACTAGTAAATCCAATATCCAGTGAAAATGCATTGCTTGGTTCTATTGTCTTGAATCCTAGGCTGGGATACTCCTTGGTAATGTGATTTTCTGGGTCCAATGTTTTAGACCCGGCGTTATAAAGAGGCTTGATAAAATAGCCAACTTTCAGGTCGCCAGGTTAATATTGACTTGACTTCCTGTGCAAAACACAGCAAATAACCTTAGTGGTGACCTATCAATCAGGAAATTGGCCATTTGTTTGTGCTGATAAGATTTGAGTGGTAGAAAATGTCGAGTCCACAATCAAGTGATGTCTTAGCAAGGCACATTTTAATGGGCTTGTACTGCAATATTTTTATGATTCGCTTTTTTCCTTCCATTATTAATAATAATAATCCTTGCATTTTATATAGCGCTTTTCACGTCTAGACATATCAAAGTGCTTCACAGAATATACTGTAAAGTGAATTGACTATATACTTATGGGCGAAACGCGGCAGCCAATTGCGTACAGTAGTGCTCTACAAACAGTCGTGGATTGAAGTGACCAATTTTGTTATTTTTTTTTGAGGGATTATTATCAGGTATGTGGAGTAAGGAAACTTGCCCAAGGTTTTGCTTTGCCAGAATCGAACCCAGGTCTCTTGCTTGCATGCTCTAACCACTGAGCTGTACAACTCCACGAGTCCTTTCCGTTCTGTAGGAAACACGATTACTCTTGTGGCTGGAATACATTCCAAACATTTTTCTTTACCGTTTATCTTGTTTCTATATGGAATAGTTTGTTTAGTCAATTAAACTGTGGATTCCTGTAGCTCATTCCTGTTTACCTAGCAGTAAGTAGGAACCCGGTTGTTGGTCGATTGGCAGATTGTTTTTCCAGGGGTAATATTTCTGTAAAAAAATAAAAATTTGATCACTTAATCCATGACTGTTTGTGGGACACTGTTGCGCGCAATTGGCTATGCGTTTCGCCCACCCACAAAATATACAGTCAATTTACTTTATAGTATATTGTGTGATGCGCTTTGAGACGTCTCAAAAGACTTGTAAGCAAAATAGAAGCCCATGGTATTAAAGGGACAGTGACAGCATGAATACAGAACTGGCTGGGAGATGGAAACCAGAGAGTGGTAGTGAATAGTTGTTTTTCTGACTAGAGGGAAGTGTGCAGTGGTGTCTCCCAGGGATCAGTATTGGGACCACTGCTGTTTTTGATCTATATAAATGACTTGGACTTGGATATAGGGAGTACAATTTCCAACTTTGCAGATGACACTAAGCTAGAAAAAGTAGTAAACAGTGAGGAGGATAGTAGCAGACTGCAGACGGACATAGACAGACTGGTAAACTGGGCAGACACGTGGCAGATGAAGTTTAATGCGGAGAAATGCAAAATGATGCATTTTGGGAGGAAGAATGAGGAGAGGCAATATAAGCTGATGGTACAATTTTAAAGGGGGTGAAGGAACAGAGAGACCTGAGGGTTCATATAAGTAAATCTTTGAAGGTGATAAGACAGATAGATAAACTGTTAAAAAAGCATATGGGATACTAGGCTTTATAAATAGGGGCATAGAATACAAGTCAGAAAATTATGATGAACCTTTATAGCCTCAGCTAGAATATCATCTTCAGTTCTGAGCATCACACTTTAGGAAGGATGTCAAGGCATTGGCGAGGGTGCAAAGGAGATTTACCAGGATGGTACTAGGACTTCAGTAATCAGGAGAGGCTAGAGAAGTTAGGATTATTCTCCTTGGAGCAGAGAAGATTAAGAGGAGACTCAATAGAAATTTTCAAAATTGTGAGGAGATTCGATAGGGTGAAGAAGGAGAAATTATTTCCACTGGCGGGGGTCGGTACTCCGAGGACACTGATTTAAAATAGTTGTTAAAAGAAACAGAGGAGGTGAGGAGAATTTTTTTCACACAGCGAGTTCAGATCTGGAATGCATTGCCTGAAAGAGTGGTGGAAGCCAATTCAATAACTACTTTTAAGAGAGAAGTAGTTAATTATTTGGGGAGGACAAGTTTGCAGGACTGTGGGGAGAGAGAAGGAGAGTGGGATTGAATTGGATAGCTCTTTTCAAAGAGCCGGCACAGACATGATGGGCTAAATGGTCTCCTTTTGTGTTGTATAATTCTATGATTCTATGAAAGACATGATCAGGCACTATATCAAATGCAAAGATTATTATTACTATTATTATTAAACTGAGTCATGTATTATTTTTTTTAAAAATAGTTGACTGTACACTTCGGAAATACTGCAAAGTTTTTCATTCAGTTCTCGTTGATGGAAATATTCCTCTCAGATGGGAATTTCCATAACTGACGCATCCAGACTGAATGAACAATTTGTCGGCTTATGAGCTGTCAGGAAAACATTTTACATTCTTATGCTTTTGAATTTTTATGTAAGTTATCTGACGCCTCCTGGGACCCAGGGATTTGCACCTCACTATGATGACATTGAAGCATTTGTACTTCAGCTGGAAGGCAGCAAATACTGGCGCATCTACAATCCGAGGTATGTAATATGTTATCAGTTAAGAAACTTTCCTGACCAAAACCTCAAATCCTTTCATGGAAAACTTTCTAAAGCACAGCAACCCCAACCCATGTAATTAACCCATTTGATCATTGAATGCCTTGCATTTCACACAATTAATCATTTCTTTAATAAAACTGGGTGTTTATGGAAACTGAACAACAAAACTTTTTACGCTAACCACTTTAAGTCTGTGGTATGACCATTATGAATTTGGTGGGGAAGACCAGAAGTTTTTATATAAGCAATTTTTTTCTCTATTTAGCTCACTTTGCGGGTGGTCTGTTTCAAAGCCTGTGCATCTGTGTGAAACTGATATGTAGCAGTAAAGCAAAATGATTCTTTCTCTGTAACATATTGTTGTCTTATGTTTGGTTCCCACCCAGTGTATGTTTCATTCAAAGTAACTTCTAAACAGATTAAAACAATTAAATCTACAAGGTCTCATTAACCCCCTGACTGTCCAGCACCCTGGGATGACTTTCTGATGTGAAGGGCACTGTGCAAATGTAATTTGTTGTTGTTAACTGAATTTTATAATGGTTTAATCTTTCCTGGATATGGTGTCTTGTGAAATCATTGTGCAAATCTAGACAATGCGTTTTGGCAAATTGTTTCATTGTGAGAATTATCATATGCTTCTTGTCCTCTTCTCCGTTCCTGTCTTCCTGGGTCTAAATTCAAATACTGGTAACCATGATCACATAATAGCAATAGTATGGGAACCCTAAGTGTTTTCTCTCCGTTTGATAGCCCTGAAATACACATGATTTTTACCTGATTGAGCCTTGTAGACAAGCCTTGTATTTCTTGTCTGTACGGCTCAGTGCCACACCATATAGTGCAAGTATTCACTGTGTCACAGGGGAATAAAATCAATTATGAGTAAAATATTAAATTAACTTCTGGGATCATAAAGGTCCTGCCTCCTCAGTTTTCTCCCTCATCTTCTAAACTATGGAACTTACCCAACTTCTTGTGGAGATGTGGACACTGACCCTCCATGTTGTGGAATGGCCTTTGCTTCAACCTTGTCTGCTGAGTTTGCCAATTATCTGGTGGGATAGGAGTTGAGCCATTACAGTAGACTGCAGCGCCCTGGACTAGGGAGGGAAAAAATCAACTAGATTTCTCTCTCCCAGGAATACCTGAGGATTTGTATGTCAGTAAGTGTCGGTACTTTCAGGAATGGGCAAAATTGATGAATCAGCCATAACCTTGAGGCAGTGTATCTTAATTTATTTCCTTGTATTTAGGTAGTTTTTTTAATGCAATTCTTCCAATGAATGAATTTGTACTTGTTATCTTGTTTATAATGAGATTATTTGCTTCATTCACAGAACAGAGGGAGAATTTCTTCCACAAGTGTCGAGTGGTAAGTATCACAATGACAGACAAGTGTATCGAACTTTTGTGTTATAGAGGATGTTTCATTGGTATAAAGAATACTTTCAACTGAAGTAATTTTCTGTCCATACCAGTTAACTTAACTGAGGAGGATTTGGGCAAACCTGTATTGGAGGTTGTGCTTGAACCCGGGGACCTCCTATATTTTCCTAGGGGCTTCATCCACCAAGCTTCCTGCTTGCCCACCACTCACTCACTTCATGTGACCATTTCAACCTATCAGAAGCACACTTGGGGAAACTTGTTAAAAAAGGTAGGTGGACATTTTCCTGGAATTTCCCAGAATACTCTATTTGAGAGTGGGAGATACTTGCAAAAGGGAGATAGACACCGGTGTTGCATAAATGAGGCCTAAGTAAAGCAATTCCGATTTCTCAAGTATTTCAGCGTGCAGATGCATGTACAAGGATGGCATGAGCCACGGGGAGATGGGGTAACCCTAATATAAAGCAGTTTCCGGGATCCAAAACATTAAATCCTGAGTTATAACAGATCTGTGGAAAATAATGAGTTGTTAGGTGTATGCAAAATGGCTGTCATTTTTGGCCACAAACATTTCACTGCACCTGTCAGTATTGTATCTGTGTCCTTGAGTCACTGACTCCACTACCAGTGGAAATAGCTTCTCCTTACTTACGCTGTCAAAGCCCCTCAATTTTGTACACCTCTATTTGTCATGAACGCAGCTCCTACTGTTTCACCTTTTCTGCACTCTCTGGAGAAGAATCAGACTGTAGGTTCCAGTCTGTGAAGGCAGCATGATTAAATTCAGATATTAACTGTGTTGTGAAAGGGGTAATGAACCTGTATCCCATTCCTCTAGTGCAGTATGATGCAAGCCTAATGTACTTCCTCACAGTCTGTCATCCTATTTTAAAATCTACTTTAAAAGCCTGTAGTTAACATGGTGTGGGATTTGTCTATGTTCATTAGGTTGTGTTATTATACTAATTGTAAGTCTGAAATGTTTTTGTCACACTAACCCTATTGTCAAAAGTTTGGCATCAAATTACAGAACTGCTCAACCAATATTGGTTCTGTCTGCCACAGATTGTAGAAATACAACAGTATCCTCTAGTGTCAACAAGTGATTACTGCACAGGACCATGTTTGCTCATTTTCCATTGAGTCAGTGGCATCCTCATTGCTGTTTTAGAGGACCAGATTCTGTAAACCAGATCTTAGACCATGGATCAGTAGAATATTCAGGCCTGATCTGATTTTTGATGACTTACAAAAAGTCCTATGTGGCATTTAAACAGTTATTGTTCCAGAGTCCTCCGTTTTACTCGCTTTTGAAAAGTAATTCTGGAGCTAAAGCAGTTAATGTTTAACATACTGTATTTTAGTTTCCCCGTAAGTTTGAGAGTCTCTACATCTAGTTGTTAAGTATTTGAATGTAACAAATGTAAAGCTTTCTGTTGGTGTCATTTCTGAATCTGAATGAGCATTCAGAGTTGTTCAGGGGGCACATTTACTTTATAGGTCTATCCTTTATTTTAAAGGAATCTGCCCCTAAAATGTGCCTTGTTATTTTGTTTGCAGATTCTTCCAGCTGCTTTAGAGGGCGCTCTTCAAGATGATGTAGAGTTCCGTCAAGGCTTGCCCCTAAATTACCTAGAATATACTGGAGTGCAGCATTGTGAGAAGGTAACTGATCTTTTATAAACCTTTGTTTGAAGACTCTCTCTATCTTGGGTTTCATAATGGAAAACTCATTCCAAGTGGATACTTGTGATGCTATTTCATTTCACTTGATAAGGTCAAATCATAGGTATTCACATAAAAATAATAATTAAAATAGTGCTGATTAGGTTTGCTTTTTTTCCAATTTATATGTGAGACTTGAGAGTGGGTGCCAGACAGTTGTCTTCATCAAACTGTTGGTAATAGTACTTTCCCACTCTTTGTAAATCCCCTAATACCTGTTTTTGAACCCTTTTCGAAGAATTAGGTATACATTACATAACCACTGGAGAGCTTTTGTCTTAATCATTGCTGTTCCTCCCCCCCATCTCACCCTGTCATAAAGGCACCTGGTCATGACTGTCAGAACTGCTCCAGGAACTCCAACCTGCCATTCTTGTGAAACCCACATAATGAATCTCCATTTTCATAATACAGTCAGGTGAGAAACAAGGACACCGAGGACTTTTCCCACTGCCCTTATTCAAGCTTGAGCTGAGAAGCATTTGTGAGGAAAGGAATTAAATCCTCCCTTGTTTTCCCTTTCATGGCCAGTATGACACTTTAGTAACAAAATACAAGTCTTCTAATGTCAGCACAACACTCATTTATTGTCAGTTTTGAGAAGCAGAAAAGTGGGACAACTGATGATTTTGGAATCTACTGGAATACAGTACTGCTGTAACTACTGCTTTAAGCGCTCCGAGATACAACCTTGCGCAAAGGTCACTACATAAATCCATACCTCACAACAGTCCCGGATTGTGCAGGACTGTTCTGTTTTCACTTCCAAAACGTGCCGACTTACAATGGCTGACCTGTGTGAATGCCCGCACTGGCCTCATTCTCATAAAGCTGGCACATTCGTACACGAAGCCCAGTTTTCCCGCTTGAGAACCTCGCAAGGCTGACACGCAACCCAGCACACAACCCAGCCATTTCACGTGCTCACAAGTGAGGTCATTTTTTTGAGTGTGCTGTAGCTGCTTTATCCATTTGAAAATAGTTGGTATGGCTGATGAAGACACCCAGGCTTCGCTAAAGGAAAAGACTTTGTCAATTTGAAATTTTTTAGCGGGCACAGAATCATTTTCTGCAAAAATTACATTTGCGCTTTGGGAATACTGCAGAGTTTCTTTCTGTTAGTCATGATATATGATGCAATGATATTTCAAGATATTGCTATGGAGAAACATGCAAGCCTTACAAAGGCTGCAACACAGTCAAAATCATTGGGCAGCTTTTTATCCATCTGGTAGCATCTCAGGGCGTTTAAACAAGTTCAAGCTTACTCCTCGAAATCGAAGCACTGGTGATTCACCTTTTGCACCCGGCAATGATGATGCAAAATAAAGATATTCTTTTGAGATTTGTGCAACCTTCTGTGATAGTTGCAAGTCAAAATATTACAGAACTATATTACAAAGACTCTTGTGTGCAGTTAACCGGCTTCTTATGTGTTTGTGGGCTTTCAGACAAATAACTACATAAGAAAGGAAACCATGACCTATACAAGGCCATGTAAATCATTCTTGGTTCACTTGTTTTGCAAAGTACTGGATTACGTGAAAAAGGCAATAATAATAATCCTTGCATTTGATATAGCGCTTTATCACGTCTTCGAGTTGTCTCAAATCACTTCACAGAATATACTGTAAAGTGAATTGACTATATAATTTGTGGGCGAAACGTGGCAACCAATTGTACACAGCAGTGTCCCACAAACAGTCATGGATTGAAGTGACCCAAGTTATTTTTTTTTTAAGGAATTATACCCCCAGAAAGGCGATCCGCCAATCAATAAACAACCGGGTTCCTACTTACTGCTAGGTAAACAGGCTTGTGGAGTAAGGAAACTTGCCCAACATTTTGCCTTGCCAGGAATCGAATCCAGGTCTCTCGCTTGTGAGGAAAATGCTCAAACGACTGAGCTACATGACTCCGCAATGCCTTTGGAAGACCCTGTACTTAAGAGCCTGGCTTTTTATCATCTTTTTTCTGTGATGATTGATTGATTGATTTCCTGATGTGATCAGTATGCAACAAATGCATTATCTGCGTTCTGAATTTAGGGATTATAATACCTGTAGTTCATTTCCTTAATATGACAACACTATGAGAATTGATGAATTTGGCCTAAAATATCTCAAATGAATGCCCAAGTAAGTAAATGGCCAAGCAAGATTCTCCTTTAAAACTTGTACAATTCATGTTTAATCCACCACACCAATGCTTCACGTGAAAAACTATTCAGTATAGTACTGAAAATAATAACTTGACACCTGACACAAGAAGTGTATTTGGGAAAAAATCTTCTCACCCAGCAACCTGGGCCCAATGTGTATGAAAAGACAACAGTGAGGAGGAATACACCATGTGTTATGTTGGCAGTGAAAATCAATATCTTTTCCCACATGAAGTGTCACCAGTGGCAGCATTTACCTGAACTGCAAAAAGGCAAAATCTGCCATGTATGCCAGTTTGTCCAGCTGCAGAACAATGGAATTTGTAATTAAGTACAAAATATTTATTTTGTCCCTCTCTTTTGCCACTTGAAATATTGAAAGCATTCAAGTTCTTAAGAGTAAATGCAAGTTGTTGCTGCGGTACTTCTACAGGTTCTGATCTCTGATAACTTCTACAAGTGGCAGATCTTTATGTTTTAGTCTAGAAAGTAATAATTTCGTGTCCAAACATACATGGAAAAGGTCCCTTGAGTGTCCATTTATTTTCTCTTCTTTCTTTAGTCTGTGTCACAGTAAATCTAATTCCATTAAAGCCTCATGGAATCCTAGAATGTGTTTAGTACTGAAAGAATAAAGAGCTTTTGAACCATTTGAGACACACTGAAGGTACACATCCTCTATTTAGGTAATCTGATTTTCGTGGTAGCTTTTAAAAAAAAANCTGCCACTTGACAAAATCAATTGTGCAATCAGAGTTTCTCATCTCATTTTTAACAGTAATTTGATTTTCTGAGAACTCATCGTCGGAGTTAAGTAGTGAGATTGCAGAGGAATGCTACTGTCATACAGGTGATGTCTGAAAACAATTTTTGAAGACATACTTGACACAAAATATTTCTGTGAGCTTGACTGCGGGATAGAATTGGAGCTATCGCTTACTATAAAAATTAGTATCAAACAGTGATTGCTATAATTCTTCTAACAACTCCTTATTTTTCTACTGCAGTGGAGAGTATTCAGAATATTGAGATTATTTCTTGATTTGTTTCTGAAGAACTATTCAGCAAAGGAGAGAATTGACATTTTCAACCAGGGTTCTATTGGTGAATATTGTATGTAGTGATCTGAACAAGGGGTTGGTATTGATACGATAAACTGCAAGCAAAGCTGGTGTGTTAATTGCCATCCAAACCACCATCCTTCTATCTTGTATATTACAAGATATTGCTCTTTCATGTATAATACCAGCAGCGTATTTGTGTTTCGATATCAATTTTAAAGTATTTTTAATGGGTTTGAATCCTACTTTTGTACTGATAACACCTGCTAGTATAGTCATTCAATGCCAGTACACAATATCATTAATATCATTGATACTGAAGGATTAAAGATGTTTGCATTGTTACAGCAAGATGTTACTGAAAAATAGGCAGAAAAGATATTGCTGTTGATCATGGTGTACTTTACCAGTAATTGCACAGGTTTAACATTCTACAGTTTTATCCCATTGACAGTATCCACATTTTTTCCAGGTTAACGCCCAAAGGAAGAAATTCATTAAAAAGATTAATAGTTTAATTGGAAGGCTACAAGCGTATGCGGGAATCGATGCAGCTGTTGATCAGAAAGCTAAAGAATTTATGCATGATTGTCTGCCACCTGTACTTTCAAAAGGTACTTTGTTTAATTTTATTTCAAGTATTTTAATATAATTTTACCATAATTACAAATAATTCACTAAATAAATTTTTGTTTGTAAATTAATAAGGGATTCCCTGCCTCTGTTGAAAGAATAGATCTACTAGATTTTGGCAGATCTTTTAATCCCAGTGCATCCTTTCAACATATCTGTTAATACCTCTACCCAAGTATCTAGCTATCTGACTTTTAAAAATCCGTATTGATTATGATTTGACAGCTTTTTGGGGCAGAGTTGCTTCCCGTCCTTAGATATAACTACCTTGATTCTGAAATTGTGATTTTAAAGTTGTACCATTTTGTGATGGATCCCTCTAGCCAAAGGAAGAGTTGTCTACTGCAATTCCTTTCATTATTTTCAGTACCGTAATCAAATCATCCCTCAAACTTTTCTGCTCTAAGGAATCTAACCCCAGTCTATCCATCCTCTCATCATAGGCACCTTTATCTTAATTATGAACCTGAGCTTTCATTGAACACTTTCCAGGCAGGGCTAATATCTTTCCTAAGTTTGGGCGGCCAAAACTGAACAAAGTGCTCCAGATGAGCTCTAGCTAAAGGGGTAATGTTTATAGTGATTGCATCCTTCCTTCCTAGATGAAATTGCTTGTAGTGTTCATGGTGCACCAACGCGATGGGAAAATGGCAAACCACGTGATGTCTTACTTGATATGAAAGGAGATACCGAAATCCGAATGCTTCGCAGCAACATTGCCAGGTCTTTTAACTGTTTCATTTATTTTGTATTTAGCAAGCTGCATCAGTTGCTGTTTATAATCAATTTCAATGCATTAACAAAACCGGTTTTACACAGAGGATATTCAGATATGGAACCATGCTTGAGCAGACTCCATATTATAATAATCCTTGCATTTGGTATAGCCTGTATTTGTAGTCATCGCAGGCATTTTGTGCGCAGTAATGACCACCAAACAGCAATGAAATAAAATGAACAATTTTATTTTGGGGAAATTGTGGACCAGGACATTGGGAGAAACTCCCTTCTCTTCGAACGCCATGGGGTCTTTCCATGCATGGAAATTCTAGAGATAGATTATTACAATGCACAGAGGGATGCATCCCGCTTACCTAATCCAAAGTATGGCACCTCTGACAATCCAACAACCATCCCCACACCCCCCAACCACTTCATCGACGTGTCAGTTTATGTGATTATGTGAGTTCAAGTTCCAACGTGGATCTTCGCCTTCCGACTCTGAGGCGAGAGTGCTACCAACTGATAAATATCTGAAAATCAGAAATATTAAATAGTATGGGGAAGGTAGGGGATTGGAACTAAATGGTGAGTTATTAAGGAGAGCTACCACAAGCAGGATGGGCTAAATAGCCTCCTAAGCCATAAATTACTACGGTTCTGGTTATCAAATTAGGGCTTTGCATTTATTAGAAGAATATTTTTCATGTTAATGTTTAAAAAAAGTGTCCCCTAAAAAAGATGTTTATTCTCCCCATAGGCTATTCAGCGAGGACAACAGAATATTATTGTCTTACACAGTGGAGAATTCCAGAATTTACCACGAGGTGGAGCCACAATCAATAGAAATAGACCCAGAGGTAAGATGGGTTATTTTTAGTTTGCATAAACATTTTAGGAATTTGAAATATATACTTGCTGCGTCTGGTTACTGCAGAGTGTGACCAGGGAATTAAATGGTAGAACAGCCTGACAGAACAGGTACTGTACCTCCGCAATACTATCTCAACTACGGATGCAGAATGCTAGTGTGACCTGTGTGATACGTAGTATTCTGCAAAAAAAAGTGATTAATTAGATTGTCCAATTGTCTAATTTTCCCTAAATATTTCTCTTTCAGCTTGCTGATGGAATGGAGTATTTGCTTTGTGCATATCCAGAATTTAAAACTATCCGTAGCATTCCTTGTGCAGACCTGGAGGAAAAGGTATGCAAATTTTCTGGGATATGGTTCTGTGGGTGCCACTCACACACTGATGGCTCAATCAAGGAGTCATTCTTCATGTATGAGCCTTGCAAGTTTTTAAGCTGAATGTGGATTGCGTTTTAACGCATCAATTTTATGCAGATTTTTGTTTTAAAATATATTACTCGAAATTCAATAACTTATAATAATGTATACATTTAGTGTATGTTATTTATAAAAAATGTTCTTTAGGAGTGAACTTGACTTTCATTGTTTGGACACGGTGAGTCAACTGACCTGTTGTAAAAGAGAAATTTACACTTAAAACATGCTAAATGTCTTTGCTTTCCTGTTTTTCTATAGGTCTCCTTGGCTTCTGCCCTGTTTGAAAGAGGACTGGTGATCACAAAGAAGCCACTTTCTAGCATGCCAGAGGATCAATGAATTGCCTCATATTGGATTACAATCCATTTCAGATCAATGTACATTGTACATACCCCAGATTATCACAGATTAAAAACCTTTTATAGACTACAATTGAAATATATCTCCAAATTGATTTAAATACAGCAGAAATCAAGTGGTGCTCAAAACCAAACATCTTACTAAAATGCCCCACTGACTGGACTTGACTGCCTTACATTACCATTGGCTTGAATGGTCATTGTTGTAATTAAATATAGTGAGGTGTACGTGGATATCAATTTGAATTTATTGAATGAGAGATGTGTATGCAGATTTCAGTGCAGTGATCATGTGTGAAACTTGCACAGGATGTTCTGATAAAATTGTTTTAATTTACAATTAATTGGGGGAGAATGATTGTAGAAGTGAGCTTTAAAGGATGAGTACAATATTCACAGTCTGATGCCTGGGCTGAAAATTGGTAGGTTTAAAAGCATTGGAGGTGTGCCTGCCAGTTTAGTGTGATTTTCTACATCGGGTTTGCAGTTCAGTAAACTGAACACTGGAAGGATGCAAGTTTCATCACCACAGATTATTAGTTGTTCTGTAAACATGCTGTCTGTGTTTATTCATGTAAAGCTATGTTTGTACCCAAAACAAAATGACTTAAAATAAATACTAGGTGTTATAGTAGTCATAAATATGCATGATGATAACAAAACACACACAACATCCTGGGTAGGTTACATTGAGGAAGACAATGTAACTAATGTAAGATCAAGACTGATTAACCTTCAGTGAATGCTGTTTTTTTTTGTTAAGAGTAACAGTTAATTTCTAGAAATGTGGATGTATTTAACCCTAAGAACTTAACTAAACTTTTAAATAACAATTGAAACCTTCTCATACCTGGGCTCATCTATTTCATGATGTTGAAAGAAGGGATCAATATTGCGGGTTATTGTGAAATTCAGTTGAAGGAATTTAACCTGTTTTATATTAAGCAACAAGACGAACACATTGCAAGAGCAGTTGAACCAATTCCTGCTTGAACTTTAGGGGGGAAAAACAAATTAAATCTTCAGATTAAATCCAGAAAGAGGGAATGGAATGAATAACAGGAAATTCAAATAACTACTTCTGCATCACAGAACATATATTGCCTGAATTTGACATTTTATTGGATGTTGTTGGAGTGCTTAATTAGTTATCTGTAGTGTTGGAGCCTTTGTTTGAGGTATCTTTTGCACTTTTATCCAAAATTGTGGTTGGACTTGCTGTCCTTTTCTGCGAGTGTACATACTCGAAGTATGATAAGTACCCATCTTGGTCTAAATCATCTTTTTCTAGAACTTCATCGGTCATTTCTGCAAAAAAACAAAAATATATAGTAATTATAAAGGAAAAATAAATTTACCTAAGTGATGAGCATATATTTTAATTTTAGTCGATAGACAACAGCTCTGGTTTACAGTGATTTTCAGCCAAATGCACAATAAGCTGAGTTCATAAAATTGACAACAAAAGGCAGGATACCATCACTATTTTGGTGCATACTATGGAATGCAACATTGGCCTGGAATGAATGGAGCTAGCAGAAAAATAATCACAGTAAATTGCAGGAAACAGGCCAAGAGCAAAGTTGCTCAACATTCAGCAGCAGCACACAAGGCAAAGCCAATGTTTAGTTGGATAGCCAGTAGTTTGTGGCCAGGAGCAAAAGCGTGAGATTTGGGTGAGAGTCAATACTGCAAAATGGTAATCAGACCATCTGAACTTAGCTGTGTTTTTTTATTTGCATGTGTAAACGTGAGGGTTGTAAGAAGATACTGAACTTTTGAAAAGAAAAAAAATCAGTGCTGCACATTGTAGCTACCATGGTACTGAAAACAAAAGGAAAGCTCTTGGCTGCTCAGTTCGTGAACTAAGATCTTGTGAAGCGTCTTGAGTTTTATACAGCCTCAGCCTCTGTTTACAGAACACAAATGTTAGAAAATGCCAACAATCTTTATGGATCACAAAGTATGCAGAGTTGCAATTTCTGCTCAGCAAGTGCTAATCCTACTGTCTCACTTGCACAGTAAATTAATATTCTAAATAGATATTTTTCTTTATAATATTTGAGCACCCTACAACCATAATCTGCCAGACTCCTTTGTAGTGAATTGCTTAGCAACTAACAGGAAATGTGTGTGTATGTTGCAAAAGTGACCTCCAAGGAAATGGAAATGGCAGCTGACTTGCTCCACTTTGCCATCTCAGACTGCAACAAGGGACAGTGGTTATTTGGGACATTTGCAATGTTAACCCTTCCAATTACTGATGAAGGACCTGAAGCATAAGTCTTACCTTGTCATATTGCTTGCAGTATATAAGACTGGAGAAATGAAAGATAATGCCTATTTGTTTATAAATGTGGTCTGCTCTTAGTCTCCTGAGCGTCTTTCCATCAAATCCCCACATAAGGCCAGGGGCAAACAGCTTTCTGTTATACAATCCAAGTACTCAAACAATGTAGATGTCACTGAGGAGGGGTTTTTGAAATAGGCTTGCCTTCGGGTCCCTTTGTCCAGTGAGCAGCGTAAGGCAAGGCTGAAATTCCTCTCATTTACTCTTTTTTATTAGTCCTAGTTACTTGTTTTTCTTTACAAATTATGGCAAGAACTTTAGATGACCTACCTAGTGGATAAAGCAATCACACTCATACACACCTGGCAGTTGACCGGTTCAGGTCTATGTTGAGTTAGGTGATGTGCGGGGCAGAATGAGGTATACGTTTGGTCTCCAAACCACCATGCCTCCCAATGGGCAGAAAATACCACCACGGTTTCTGTTCCTGAGACAGTTAGCTCTCGTGAGGCTATCCCAGCCAGAGTAAGCATGTTCAGAAGAGGGGAGAAAATTCGGTTTCAAAGAATATTAAGGTTATGCAAAACTGAGGCTGACAACTTATTGGGACAGTAATGGCCCTCTAGGATGTTCATGTAGGAATAGATGTCTCAGGAATATGGGGACAATTCTAAAAATTATTTTTTTAAAACATCCAATAAAACTTGGATGTTTTGTTGGGGGGAGGGGAAGAATTAATGTCTCTCCATACTATTTTCATCTAATGTTTCCAAGACTAGATTTATTTCACAGATCACCATCGCAAGACATTTGCTGGATGCCCTGTTTCTTATCCCAAACCAATCGTTTTTGTTTGGGACAAGAAGTGGCAGATTGCACATTTGTAATATCATTAAACATAATCTCCACTAACATCTTGTGAATGGAAGGATGAGCTGAATAACTAGTTCCTGTTCCTACACTGCTAATTGTAAGATTTTGAACTTCACTCTTTTTGTAAGAATGGAGGAGAGCTATTGATCCCCCAGACATAACAGTTGAGCTATATAGAGCTCTGGTCAAGCTGCACTCAGATGGGGTGTCCACAGCATAAGAGGTAGTGCAGAGAAGAGCAGCGAGGATGAGCTACAAGCAACAATTGAACAAGCTAGGGCACTTCATTCTTGAGAAAAGATATCTCAGAGGGGACTTTGTAGAAGTATAATGAAAACTTAAGTGGGATTAAAAAACTAAACCCAGATCAATACTTTCAGAAGCATCAAGATAGTAGAACAAGGGGACAGGTTTAGAATTACAAAGGACAATTTCAGGACAGACACTGGGAGGTTTACTCCAAGGGTAATTAACAACTGAGTGGTTATAGCCAGGACACTTGAACATCAGTTTGGTTGGTATTTTGAAGGATGAGATCAAAATGGTTAAAGGGCTTTCATTTAATACATGGAGCGGACCAACAACAAAACAAAAGAAACCTACCTATTATTAATCGTGTCATATCTTCTTTTGAAAATGTAGCAAGGGGTTCTTCGAGGGATTCTTCCAACGCAATCATTATTTCCAAACCATCCAGGAGAGTATTCTTGTCAAAATCATGCAAACTACAGAGACAGAGAGAAATGTTGATGCACTAATTAAAGTATTAATAATATAATTTTAAACCAACTAGATAAATGTTTCAGGGAAGTCTCGCTAAGCTAGTATTTGTGAGTCATTTATCAGTGTGGCAGCTCATGTCATCAAGCAGCAGCTACCCTTATTGTCATTCAGTTTCATTTTATAACAACAGGTTGTCCTGTATATATATCCGGGAAGATGTATATATGAGACTCTTCTCACCATTTTTTTTCAGGCTGCTACATTGCCTGAATATTGTTCAATGGCATAGGTTACTGTTATGTTGCCATGTGTCTGAACTGAATTTTTAAAGAAGTGTAATGCTGTTAATGGGAAGATGGTGCAGATCGTATGCTGGAGGGTTGAGATCAAATAAGCTGAAGGACTTCACCCAAACTTCTCAAAACTGTTTGATCACCCACATGTGATATACCTTTATCCCCTTTAATGTTCTAATCTTTTTCAGTTGAGTGTTGACAAGACTGTTGACTTCCTTATACAAGCTGTACAATATCCGGGACTCTATCCTCTCCCGTAACCAGCTTTGTGAATCATACCTGGCAGATGCACACCTGGCAATAAAGGCGCTACTATACAAATATAAATTTGTGTTTTATTTTGCCTGTCTTTTCCTCTTTTCGATCGCTATTTCTATTATCTTTTATCCCCTCCCCACCCTCCTCAGTTCCTACCCCTCTACAGCTCAGGTACCCCGATATACTATAAAGTGGATTGACTATTTTGTGGGTGAAACACAGCAGCCAATTGCGCACAGCAGTGTCCCACAAACAGTCTTGGATTGGAAGTGACCAATTAATTATTTTTTTGAAGGAATTATTACCCCAAGAAAAGCGATCTGTCAATCAACTAACAACCAGGTTCCTACTTACTACTAGGTAAACAGGTGTGTGGAGTAAGGAAACTTGCCCAACATTTCGCCCTGCTGGGAATCAACCTCTGGTCTCGCTTGCGAGTTTGAGTGCTCTAACTAATAAGCTAAAGGATTCCACGATGCTGCACAGAATCCAGGACTACAAGATGCTCCTTGCCCTTGATGTGTGGTCACATCCACGCAGGAGCATTAACAGTTGATGTAAGCATCAGGGGAAATTGACTGATCTACATTTGATGAGCACATGTGATAGACATCATGATGTATACTGACAGGTGTATGGCAGCATGAATTCATGTTATTATTTTATAGGAACATAGAACAGAAGTAGGCCATTCAGCCCCTTGAGCCTGTTCCGCCATCCGTCTGATGCAAGGTCATCAACCTGAAATGTTAATTCACTTTCCTCTCTCCATAGATGCTGCCTGTCCGGCTGAGTGTTCCCAGTGACTTCTGTTTTTATTTAAATAAATATTATGTTTGTTTTTTAGTATCTGATACCTGCAGAAACCCATTACCACATTTAAAGAGTATCCAAACCAAGCTGCTGAGAATGTACAAACATTGTATAAATTTTGTTATACTTTAATGAGGATGCACCAAGGAAACAGTCACATTATGCTTTGCACTGATCAGCAAAATTGGGCCAAAACTTTGCCTTAAGGAAAGGGCACTGTTCTGTTTAACATTCCTCTCACACATTAAAAGATGCTTGACTTTGATGCAACACAAATTGCCTCTAGCTAACATGACTAAGCTATCCAAATAATTTGAAATCTTTCCAGAAAAACTGGAGCTGCCTCAGACTTACGTGAAATAGTAGAATTCCAGCTCCTCTACAGACATTTGGTTCAAATCTACATCTCCCAGGTGGTGTTTCAACTCCTCTTGAAGGTGACTAGGAAAATAAATGTTATGTTAATATATGAAAATTAACTAAATATTACTTAGGACAACAATTGTAGATTTCCCCTATCCTGAAGGCAATGATTTATATTGGGGGCAATTGTATGAGTTTTGGGAACCCGTCAGAACTCGAATGTTTAGTTGCCCATCTGGTATTAGTCCAGACTGACAAATGGGGCAGCCAATTGCACACAGCAGTGTCCCACATAAGCTTGTAGTGAAATCTTGTATGTTAAATTCCTGCCATTGCAGATTTTCGACCCCCTCAGCCCAATTATGTCCAATCCAGCCACGCCTGGGCACTTCCCATCAATGGGATCACGATTGGGAACGTGAGTTGATTTATTTCCTTCCTCAGTCTGTGGCCGACGCTACATGCAAGGATTCTTATTATGTGACACGGTTCCACGCAGAATAGCGTATTTACCCACTGAGCTACTGAAGGAGTCCAGACGATAATAATAATAAACCTTACATTTATACATATTTAACATAACAAAGAGCTTGGTAGTATGTTTGGTTATGTACAAATGTGCGTATATTTAATGTGCGAGACTTACTGATGATTGGTGATAATACTTTGATTGTGAAACGCATCCAAAAACGCATCCTCTTTGGGAACTGCAGGCTGTTGAGGTTCCTCACACTTGGCTACAGGCAAAAAACTCAAGACAGACAGACAGAATACTGTAGAGGAAAACATCTCAGTCTTTCTCCTCGTGTCCCAGCTCCACTGTGCTTCAGTGTTGTGCTGAGCTGTCCTTAGCACTTGCAAAAATTCCCACATTAATCTTTACTTACAATGGGCTGCATGTTTTTAACACTTGAAATTCCACCTAGTCTTAGCTTATAACATTTTCAATCATGTAGAAATGTGGAAAAGTCTTAAAGTTCAATCTTCATTTAAAACCTTTTTTTTAAAAAAATGAATAAATCTGACTTTCTAAATTAGGTTTGAAGGATTTTCCACAATTGTGTAGTATGTTAGATTTTAAGACAAAATGATCTTACAATCCTACACTAGGTGGAATTTTGGGCCTTTAGTGTTGAAAATATTATAAACTAAGACTAGGTGGAATTTCAAGTCTTAAAAACATGAAACAGGCTACAATCCTTTAGTGTGGAAGTGAGACAGACAGAGCTTCATTTGTAGTCTGTGCTGAGGTAACATGTCAGCTGGCCTGTGCAATAATTGTTTGCAGATACTGTGGACTTAAGAAACATAAGAGCTAATTTCTCCTTCCACCACTGAACCCCCCAAAGCATCAACAGTATAGGCAGAGCTGAAAGCCTAAATTTCAAGCTAGTGTACATTTTCAAGGCCGCCAGCAGTTGTCCAGTATGCACTCTCTAATACCTCACCCAAGTGGCCATTCTTTATCCATGAACCTAGAACCATTTTATGGGCTCCAGAGTTGTCCAGTAGCTGCTCTCCAGACCCTCACCCAAGTGGCCAGTCTTTGTGAGTTTAAACAATATGTGTTGAGAGACAATTCAATCATAGGGGGAATTGCAGTCAAGCTTGATCCTGCCCTTATCTGATTGCACACAAACACACATAACAACAACCACAAAATTACATTTGTAAAGCGCCTTTCACGTTGGGAGGACGTCCCAAGGCGCTGACATACACAAACATTCCATCAGTCAAAGCCTAAAATCCACACAAGCAGTTTAAGGAAAAATTTGCTTGTGTTGTTGCAGGAATTTGAAGCGCTAAGATTTTCTGGTGATAATAAAAAGTATAGCGTCTTTAAGTCAACCGGATAATTATACATCTCAAGTGATCTCACTGGTTCCACACTTGACTCAGACTGGAGCAGTGCTGCAGCTGCACTCAACTCACCATCTGCCAGTTGCCTGAGCCCAGGAGCGGCTGCCAGACAGCAATTATAATTGAAGTTCACAGAAATTTTAATTGAACTGGAATAATTCAGTGTCTGAGTCGTAAATGCAGACCTTTCATTTACAACTTGTGATGTATTACAATGGTATAATTCCTGCAAAGTTAATTGGACTTAATTTAGTAAAAGGAATTTGGGCAACATGGAAATTAGATTATGTAGCAAAGTGGGTTCACCTTTCTCCTAGTCATGGCTAGTGACTAGTTTTTGTCTGTGATCTTAAACAATATGTATTGGGAGACTATTCAATCGAGTCTGATCCGGTCTTCACATGTATGCAGATGACACAGAAATCTACTTTGCCTCCTCTAGTACCAACTCCAGGTCCGCTGACGTTCTCTCAGCTTGTCTGGCAGACATCAGGGCCTGGAAGAGTGTAAACTTCTTGCAGCTGAATGTGGACAAGATGGAAGCCATACCTTTGGCTCCCTTCAACGTCTTCACTCTTACGGATCTAAACTCCTCAACTTCCCTGGACTCTCCCTCAGACACACCAAACCAGTGCGGAACCTAGGCATCCGGTTCAAGCTATCCTTCCTTCCCCACATCCAGTCTCTGACCAGGACCGCCTTCCTCCACCTCCGCCACATTGCCCGCCTTCGACCGTACCTTACCCCAAATGCAGCCAAACTCTCGTGCATGTGTTTGTCACCTCCTGCCTGGATTACCTCAATGAACTCCTCGCTGGTCTCCTCAGCTCCACTATTCACAAGATCCAGCTCATTCAGACCTCTGCTGCCCGCATACTGACCCCGGACCAAACCCCGTACCCACATCTCACCAGTTCTGCTCAGGCTCCAGTGGCTCCCCATCACTGAATGGATCGACTTCAAGACCCTCACACTCGTGTTCAAATCCCTTCAGCTCCTGGCACCTCCCTACCTCTCCGTCCTCCTCATTCCCCAATCCACCACCCAGCACCTCGGCTTGACTGGCACTGGCCTCCTGCTCCTCCCTCGCACCCTCCGCCCGACCATTGGAGGTCGCGCTTTCAGTCACTACGCCCCCAAACTCTGGTACACTCTCCCTCAATCCGTCTGCCTTTGTTCCCTCTCTCTCTTCTTTCAAGTCCCGCCTGAAAACTTTCCTCTTCGACTATGCTTACAGCCACCTCCCGTCTCCCCCCGGCTTGGAGTCATGCTCTGCCACTGTTAAGCGTTCTGAGACGCTACCCTGGGTGGAGGGTGCTATATAAGTGCAAGTTGTTGTTCACTTGATGTGCCCAGACCAACACACTCACAAACAGTCAGCAGTGGTCACTGGATAGTGATCAGGAACAGGTATACATTAATCTTTTGTTTCTGTGGACCAGCGACACTGAGGGTAACTTTACCTCCACCCTTGCCCAGTCATCAGTTAATTGATTACAGACGAAAGATTGAACCTGTGTGTTGCTCAGTGCTGCACTAAATGGTGTATTTAAATACCAAGCCTCCAGGCAACCACAACTTTTAAAGCATTTTCCATTAGCCTCTAGGTTATTTTTGACCTCACATTATGTTAACAAGCCATTGCTTGTATTTCAAGGACACTGTGCTTTGTGCTATCAGGCCTGTTGTCTCTGGTCTGTTTACTTCACCTCAGGATATTCTAATCTCCCACAGTTATCATATTACAATTCCCTGCACTCTCTGCCAAATGAGGTATCTATGTCTTCACCTTGACCTGGTGCTCTGTAACAGATGCCAGTTATCACTGTTGTGGTTTTAGTGGTTCTACATTTTCCCCCATGTTGCTCTTTCCACTCAAAAAACAAAGGTTAGAAAATGAATGGCAAACACTGTGCCAACAATAAATTGTACTCAGCCAGCAACAGCAACAGTATGAGGAATCTATTTCTAACACTACATCTGTTTGAGGAGTTGAAACACTCACCTGGAAGAATTCAAAATTAGAATTGTATTAGCACCTTTCACGTTGGGAGGATGTCCCAAGGCGCTGGACAGTCATGATTTGGGGGACGGGGGGTGGAGGGTAGGAGGGTGGCTTAAGGCACGGTCGAAGAGGAGGATCTTGAGGTGTGCCTTGAAGGAGGCAAGGAAGGAAGTGAGGCAAAGGGAATGTGGGATGGAGTTCCAACGAGTGGGGGCAGAGCTGCTGAAGGCCCAACCACTGAGGGTGGAGCAGGCCACAGCCTGTTGAGTGGAGAGGTTCATATGGGGTGAGCAGGTCACAGGTAGGAAGGAGCAAGGCTGTGGAGGTCCCTGAAGGCGAGACGAGGATTTTGAACTGTATCCTCCCGGGGATGGAGAGCCAGTGGAGCCTGGCGAGGTGAGGGCGAGGGTTCTGGATGATCTGCAGGGAAGAGTTGGGAAGCAGGGAGTTGGCGTTGGCGAGCCTAGATGTGATGAAAGTGTGGATGAGAGTTTCAGCAGCCTGAGGGGTGAAACAGTGGCGGAGTCGGGTGATGTTGCGGAGGTGTTGGAAGACAGAGCGGGTCATGGCACGGATGTTGGGTAGAAACGACAGTTGAGGGGCAAATAAGACAAGGTTCCAGACTGGCTCAGTAAAGTGGAGTGTGCATCCATGGATGGTGATGCTGTCAACGCCTGAGGTGTGGAGGTGCTGACAGGAGCCAATCAGGAGGATGATGTCACCGAGAGGGAGAGGGAGCATATGGTTGTTGAAGAGGAGGGGACCAAGGACAGAGCCCTAAGGAATACCACACGAGACAGTGCGGGGAGAAATCATTTGTGGAAACAAAGTCTAATCTGATCAAGCTACAATTCAAAAGCTACCATTTTCTGATGCTCTGCTGGGTAGTTCAGTTATGTATTCATACAATTCACTAGCTCTGCCAAGCACTCTGACCAATGCTACCCTGCATGGAGGGAGCTATATAAGTGCAAGTTGGTGTTGTTGTTGAGATGGTTTAAGAGGTAGTATCTGACCACTCAAGGACAGAAGAAATATCATATTAGAGCAAAATCAATAAAATAAGTGTTTAAGAAAGTCAGAAGTAGGAGGGAAAGTAATGTAAATATTAATTTGTGTGAATGCAAGTTGCTATAAAAACATGAGAAGATCTTTTCAATAGCTGGAAAACGTCACTTTATCAATTGTTCCAAGGTTCTACCAAGCACAGTAGATCCAGCTTTGCATATTCAACCAGTTTATCTGCTCGCCTCATAAATCTCAATTCCTCTCTGTATGTGTTCTGATCCAAAAGGTTAGCTCTGCCAATCGACTAACAACCAGGTTCCTACTTACTGCTAGGTAAATTGGGGAAAAATACCTGAAGCCGCATACTGATGTTGTTGCTATTAAGAGCAATTGCAACAGCCAATCTCTACATTGCAACTTCTCCCGAACAGTTTTGAAGTGGATGACCAATGTATTGTGAGGAATGCTGGCTGGGACACTCCTTCCTCTTTCAGATAATGCCATAGGATCTTTAACATCTACCTGAACAACCAAACGAGACAGGTTTAATGTCTGATCTGAAAGTTGACACCTCTGACAATACAATGCTCCCCTAGTACTGCACTGGCATGTTAGCCTGGACTGGGCTCAAGTTCCAAATGTGGGATGTGAAGCCACTCTTCTGGTGTAAGTTTTGAGTGTTGATATTGACAAGTTTAATGGAGGGTGGCATGAATGTCAATTCTGTTCTTACTGAATATCTATGTAAACATACTTTTCACTGGGGTGGGGGTCACTGAACTGTGATCATTAACAACAGCCCAGTCTTAAATCATCAAGTCAATTGCACAGCCACCAAACACTGCCTAAACTGAATAGTCTTCTTCACCTTTAAACCACAATACTCTCTTCAGCAGCTGCTGCTCTCACCACAAGAACCAGATTAAAACATTACAATCAACAGGACTCGACAGAAAGCACAAAGGGAAGCAGCTTCATTTTCTTTGAAAGAGGTTCTGACAGCAAGATTGCTTTCATTAATAATGGAGGTATATACACAGAGTCCTGTCAACCTGAGTAAAGCTTTTGCTCTGGGTTTTTAATCTTCTGATTAGTGTCATTTGAAAACTTGCAAAATGCAAATGCATGGATTATTAAAATAAGCACCCACACAAATTGAATTTTGCATATTTACCCTGGAGTACAGAAACAAAAATCTTAGGAAGTATAAGTACAGCATGACTACATGTCTGAAAGATCCCCTTGGCTGTGGATTCTCAGAGGTTTGACATTTAGGTAATTTATCACAAGCCATCATTGTTTCACGATCACGCTGTTCATAATGCATACTCATCACAACATCAATGTGTAAATCAAGTTTATTTGTTCTCAAAGGGTTCAGTTACAAAATAAAATTACTGCCACAAACATTACAATCTGCCAAACATACAGAAATAATAAATTAAGACTACTGCAGCTCCTTAAAAAAACATAAAAATTAAAAAGAAAAAATCCCTCTCCACAGGGCCAGTTATTTTCCAACAGTAAAGTAAACCCATTCTTTATTACAGGACCATTATTACTATATCGAATACACAGGCATGCTTGGTTTAACAGATTCTGCAGGTACTGTTAGAGGCGATATGTTTTGATTAAGTACAAGAAATGATTGCTCATGCAGTCTATCTAGTAATTTAAACATGTGTGTTTTGTGCAGGCCTATATTTATTACTCGCTCCATATGACTGTATAGTACATTGATGAGGCTCTGCTTTTCACATAGTTAATGGCATTTTGGGTCGAACCTGCAAGCTAATTTTACTCTCTTTAAGCTGCACTTCAATTGAAAACATGTTCTAAGGAGCTATGGCGTGCGCTGGAGTCCACTGCAGTGTGCATGAGCTCGGTCAGATTTGAATGTTTGTTACCATGAACTTGGCAGTGTGTTACAAGATGGCAAAAATTAATGAAAAAAAGGAACGAAAAGATCTGCAACTTAAAAAAAATCCTATTTTTTGTCTTGCTGCAACCACAGTACATACACGGTTTACAATAATGGTTAGCATGCTGCCTAGAATACACATATGGGCTAAAAAACACTCACAATAACAAACTCGTACTTCCACAAAGAAGAAATACAATTCTTAATGATAAACCTATAACATTCATTGCACATGATTAGCATCCATTTGTGTGGCATGGTGAATTCAGGTCAGATACAGGATGAATCACATAACATTCCACAAAGAGCTCCATCAAACAGAAACCTGCGTAGTCTGCCAGCCAGTTCAAATCTTTTCTATTGAGTCCTAAGAGGAGAGTTCCCTAATAGGTGAAAAATTTGTGTTAAACAAGCGGTGGACTCAGGGATGTAGGTCTGCAAGAGCACCATCTGAGTGGCAGTCTTCCAGGAATGTAGATATCAGTATGCCACGTGAAGGTCAATGGAATATTGGTCTAAGAAATTGAAACCCATCATCTTTAAAAGCGATTAAAAAGGTTATTGGGGAGAAATCCTCAATGAGGTGGAAACTTACCAGACCCTGCATTTTGGGTGGAAAATTAGGATTTTTAAGATCACGTGACTATTGCTTATTCCTGTTTCTCTGCTTTTAATTTACTGTATACAACACCAGCAAACTGCATTCATACAGAACCTTTCACGTTAGGAGGTTGTCCCAGACGCTGGACACTCCGAGTTGTTGGGGGGGATTATAATTCATCATTTTGCCTCAAGCTGTCCTAATGCAACACTGAAATATGAATGTCCAATGTGTTTGCTCTAGTGTGGTAGACATGCTTGTCCTGTGTATGGTAAGTTAATACTTGATCTCAGTTGAGAGGCAGAACCTCCTCCATTTTTATTAGCTTTAATTTAACACTGATGAAAGTAATCAGAATACTTACCTTTAATAAGTTCCATTTTTTCAAACACAGAAGCAACAAAAAAAAGGAGGCCTATTTCTGTAGCTATGAAAATACTGTAAAAATACACTGAGTTTTAATACACATCTAATCAAATCTAATAAAAGTATTTATTTTTTGAGAGGAGCAAAATTAAATGTCAGTCTTTGCAGGCCAGCAACGGGAATTTTATCTAAATTTAATATGTTCAAACTAATGTTGCGTAATGCAATACTGTACACCAATCTGGTTGACAAATTGTCAGACTCGAATATCAATGGTTTACACTGTTGATATCGACAGAGTTCTTCCCTGCAATGATTTATCTGAAAACTATTATGACATTTGCAAAGTTCGATTAGATTTGCACTCCTGTTGTAGCTGAAGATTTGTGCTTTTTACATACTCAAGCGATGCTATTATTTAGCCCCCACCCCAAGGCTATTTGTGATCATTGTGATAAGAGCCTTTTTGCAACAGAATGCCTCATTAGTGCAGTTAAACCATTTGTTCCCTTTTTCAAAACTATTATAGCTGAAATAAATAATAAAATAATACAGGTTGCTGCTTGTTGGCTGGTTAAAACCGCTGAGCCTATTTACATTCACTTATGATAAAAAGGTCACTTCTCTAGGTGCTACACATTGTAAAAATAGATATTATGCCGCTAAAACAATACTCATGGTTGAAACTGTACAACTGTTCTTTTGTTCTATGCTCGGTTTGAAACGACCAGGTGAGTTTGCACTGGGTCATGTTAACACTTGCACCTGATCCAGTCTGCCACGAAAGGAAATAGAGATAAAATCTTCACAGCCACACGATAGAACTACTCTCCGAGTGCTAGTGGGATTAAATGAAGACAAGCTAAGCAATACGCTCTAGAAGAGAAGTTAGTTCACTAGGATCCATGGAGGAACAAAGATGTTTTCTTCTTCGTGTTCATTAGCAGAACATGGTGTCAATGTCCCTCTGTCACGAAGACCTAATGCTGACTTTAGGTTGGGCACAGAACTGCAAGAAAATCAACAATATATTTGTGACCATACTCTCACCATTATTGATATCAACATATATATATTTTTAAAAAACACTGCATATTGGATCCTTTGGTTGCAAGTATAGCTGCAATGGGTACAGCTATAATAATAATAATAATAAGGCTAATAATAATGGAAGGAAAGGATGGCTGTGGGATAGGCTGCTGGTCTGAATAATTCTCCATGCCCCGATTATCACTAAGGTCTTGGGCAGAAATGACACAGGGTCCAGTGAAATACTATAATCACACATAAGACACAGAACACGGGACAGTGTATATGCAGAGTACTTGGTTCTTACAGAAACAATTTGACTTTTTAAAGTATTTTGTTAAGATTCCCTGAAAATCGAGTTCAGCATTCTGCCTCCTTTCCATATCGACTCATTTTAAATACTTTTTTGCTTGCTAACCCTTCGGATACAAACCACACCCTTCTGTATTTGGCAGTAATTCCCATAATTGGTGAAAAGCTCCAGTTATTATTGTAGATATTAAATCTATACACTCTCTTTGGCCATTCTGAAAACTGGACACAGTTTGAGGTTGACGTGTACATGTACAATACAGAGAATACCTGTATTGGGACCCTGAAAACCTTAAGACCTTCTCTTCGACCCTGCCTACAGTCACTTTCCCACTCCTCCCTGCTCAGCATCAAGCTCCATCACTGTTAAGCACTCTGAGATGCTACCCTGCGTGAAGGGTGCTATATAAAATGCAAGTTATTGTTAATTAACCCAGATCCAACTGGGGGAAAATGTTTATTAGTCACATAATTGTTGATTTTGGGTGAAGAATGCTCTGTGAGTCTCAAGATAAATATTAGGGCATGAAAGTCTTAGGTGGGAAAATCAAGATCAGATTTATCTGATACAGCTATTGTCCAGTTATTTCACAACTTTAACTTACCAGTGGTTATGGTGGTGGAGGGGGAAGTTTTGTACGTTTTGTTATATCCAAGAGATGAGGTCAGGTCAGGCGGCGGAATTAAACAGGTCAAAAAAGCACCACTTTCTGCAGCTAACCACCCATAAAACTATACTCGTGCTTGTTGCACAGCCTTGGGATGTCCTCCAGACATGAAAGGCACTATATAAATGTAAATTTATATTGTATTCTATCCTCTGCCTAACAAGTACTGAAAGTGCAAGGGCACTTTTCGGTAAAGGAAGGGGGGCAAACAAAGATATTCCTTTAAAATTTGTCCACAAATAGGGAGTTGGGGGAGGGAAGAAAGAGTGATTGTGACTGAAAAACAATTTTGTTCACATCGCAGTCATAATCAACCTTAACATAACATAACCCGACTCTCAAAAACTAGACAAATATGGAACACTCGTTGAATCAAATATAACGGAGCCCCCTGTTTCCATACAATAAACACAAACCTCAGAGCAATCCAGCCTTTATACGAGTGCTAGCACAACACAAAAGCAAACAAAGAAAAGTCAGGTGAAAGAGCGAAGGAAAAAAAAGTAAATTCAACAGAAAGAAAAAAAATCAAGAAACACAACAAAAACTGGAGAGGATTAAATAAAACAGCATTCTGATCAGAATTCAAATACAGTGCTGCTTCAGACTCAACATTAAGATCATTAGCCCATCATTTCCCCCTGGTGCTGATGTACCTCGATGCAGTTAGTTTGTCCTTAACCAAAGAATGAAAGTAATTAAGAGTGAAATAAGGCTCCTGCATCAACTGAACTGTGCAATGGATTCTGAATTCTCATACATTTGAAACTAATAATCCAGTTAAATCTGATTAAGGTTTTAAATAATGAGGCAACAACACTTGCAATTACATTAGTTACAAACTGAGCCAACAGTAAAGTGCGACCGCACTTGTTCTGCAGAATCCGCTACAAACGCCCTCGTCCACTACAAACGTGCTACAAAAACATCCCCCTCAACTACAAACTTGTACACACAGTGTGCTGGGCCCCGGCCTCTGTGCTCTGTTTCCTCTGCACAAAATTTGGCAAATGTCCTGCAATTTAGGCAAATATTTCCACACTTTTCTATTTCGCCCACAAATATACAGTCAATTAACTTTACAGGATATTCTGTGAAGCTCTTTGAGACGTTAGAAGACGTGAAAAGTGCTATATCAAATGCAAGGATAATAATAATAAAAAATGTAATATTAGCCCAGGTCATGAATTGAATTAAGAAACTCGACCTGACCCCACATCAGATCATCTAGACAGCAGGCACCAGTGGGAACATTGGGTCATTCCATCATATTTGTGTGTGCATCAACAACATTTGTAAATATGCAGGTCAATATTTTCATTTATAAATATTGAAACTTACATTTTATCAACATGCAACTTTCATGGCATTAAAAAGGATAACAATTTATTTGAATACTTAATATACTTTATTTGGCGTTCAGTGCTATTCTTGACAATCACTCTACAATTAATGACCTGACAATACTCCTGACCACTGCTGAGGCAAGACAGATTTCATTCATAAGCAAGGTGATCTCACACATCCTTAGTAGTGTTAGTTTACAACAAACACAGACTGAAAAAGCCAACAAAAAGTAAAGAATGAGGTAATCCTTTTTATCAAAGGAATCAGGTATTTTTTATGAATCCAATGAAAGTCATAGCAAACAATTTGCTTCGCAATCTGAAAGTCATATTGCACACTCCAGATGCTAAAGTACCAGGGTATAATTATGTAGATCTGGAATATTTCCAGGGACCAGCTGAATAAATAGAGCTGGTTAGTGATTAAATAATCTACTCCCACATACCCATAGCAACAAGAAAAATAAATCTGTCTGCAGAGTGAGTTTCAAATAAAATGCCTCTTGTCACTTACTCTGCTGTTTTAATTTGCCATTTTCCTTTTATCTTCTTCGACAGACATTTTAATATTTAGCACTTGCTTTCTGCAACTGCCCAAAGGTATATTTACATTTAGTAAGCTAACACTGTAATCATAGCTTTTTTTGTTTTACAGCTACAAGGAGTCACAGTTACTGAGCAACGCATTACAGCTTCCAAAAAATTCTCATTCTGCATGAAGGGTACAGGGAAAAAATTTGCACTTGAAGCAGCATTATGGAAATTTTGCAAATTAAACATCACCTCTGCAGTCGTGTCACTTTGAAAGAAGATAAGTGACTTTGTTTGAAAGAATCACAGCTTTCATGATATTGTGTTTAACAAACCTTTTTTTTTGCATGGACCAAGGTTTTTCTAACATGATGTTGCTATTTACAAACAAGGTGATGATGTGATTTACCACAACACATTGTGCATGGCTTCATGAATCAAAGAAAATTCAACACAGATTTGTATGATTCAATTCCCCTGAATGCAGTGCCCGTGTAACCATGTGAGTGTTACTATTCTGAAACTGTAATATGCAGCCTGCTTGAGCCATCAGGATGTTCAGTTTAGGTTTTATAACAGGAGGTTGACTGGAGAGTAGTACGAGAATCAAAAGCGGCCAAAGTGTGTCTGGATTGTCAGGCAGCCCTGAGACCCATCATTGTGACAACCCGCATGGCACCCTGTGCTCTCTGACAGCAATTAGAATGACTTTGATGGTATTAACCAAGAGTTCCCCAGTGAACAGAAGATTACAATGGAAGCCTGTCCTCAGCAATGGGTAAGGAGGGGCACAGGGAAATTAAATGTCATAATGCTCCAGAAGAATTATTTCTTCCACAGCTAGAAAGAATGAGACATTGTAGATAAGATTTTTTTTTAAAAAAGGAGGAATTAAATTAATGGAGTAAAATGTCACCTGAGCCTAGATATACTCCATCAATGTTCTAATCCAGAATTTGACAAAATCTAAAATCTTTAAAGTTTGAAGCTGGTTTTCTATAAATTCTTGTAAGCCAGAGGAGCTGGATGTTGGTACAAAATGCAAAACTGTGTCTTTCAATCTTCAATAATACAGCAACTCACTGTCTATGTCTACAAATTCTATATAATGATTTTACCATTGAAACAAGATACACGGCCACTTAAGTACATTTCAATCATAAAATATTCAAGTATTCTTAAGACTTTGTGTGGGCATATATTATATGCTTATAGCTGCTACGATTCATTAGCAACACAAGGTCAGAAGGACACAATGCTATGTACCCTGTGCTGTTGATCACATACTGTACTGCATATTATCCAAAATGTACAATTTCATTATAAAAAAGAATTCTGCTTTATTAAAATGAGATATTTTCTGCAAGGCTTACTTTTAATGTTTTGGTAAAACTAGATTTTAGAAGGGTTTAATTTCAGCAGAGCTATTAATTTTAGGCATGTTAAACTTATACTTCATGCATTAAATTCACTTTACAAACACTGCTGAAGATGGAAATTCCTCTCGACAAACACAACACAAATACAAAAACACTCACTCAGTGACAGATGTATTCCCATGGATATTACTTTTGTAGTTGGAAGAAGCAACATTGCCAAAAAAATAGCTGATTCTAGTTGAGGTATTCACCAGCAGTTGTCACTATACATTATGTCAAAGAATATTTTTGTATTCCCAATTCTATACCGGCTAAGTCTATGGAAGTGAGTGAATAATCTACAAGAACCATCAGAACACGTGAAAAAACTAATAATCTAATGAAATATGAATCAGCAGAATTCTATTGTAGGCAACAATCAAGCAAAGCATTAAAACATGCCAACGTAAAGCAAAATGTTCATCAGCATTTATTAATGAACCAGTGAAAAAATGTTCAATTGGAAAGTAATTTGCACTCACCTTTCAGAATGTAGTCTGTCAGCAAACTTGGCACTTTCTCACTATCCTCCCTCATTGCCTGAAGGACTGAATGGGTTTGGAGTAAATTAGGGGTTGGAAATCAAGAGATGCTTTACAACAACAAATTACAATTGTATAGCTCCTTTCACACCAGAAGGATGTCCCAAAGTGCTGGACAGTCAGGGATTTGCACCAGATGGGTGTCAGGAGGGGTGGAGTAGGATGGTGACTAAAGGTGCGGTCAAAGAGGATGGTCTTGAGATGGGCGTTGAAGGAGGCCAGGGACAGATGAGGCAAAGTGACCGTGGGATAGAATTCAAAAGGCTGAAGGTCTGACCACCGATGGTGGGGGAGGCCAGGTGGGGGACGTGGAGCATGTCTTTACAGTTTGTTAATTAATTGAAGCACATTGAGATTTGTGTTTGGCATTTGATTTAATCTTGCAGTTTGGAATTTTATTTGAAAATTAGTTCTCTTTTCCTACTTGAAAGTGCTATTTGATGTGAGTTGGTGATGAGTTTGTAGCAACCATTTCCTCTCCTATAGCTGATGTTTATCAAATCGATTAATTTGTAAACGTTAATTCTTTACAGTTCAGAAAAGAAGAAACTAATCTAACTAAAAAAAGAAGAAATGCAGGTAAGCTAAAATCACAATCTGTAACTGAAGTTTGTGGAAGTGGTGATGAAAAAAAGGTCCAAATCAATAATAACTGTGCAGCCATTTCTCTAGCAACATAAACAAACTGAAAATAATTAATCATTGGTTAATATTCTGGGAGATACTTTGCCACTTTTAAAAGATGAGATTACAGCACCCCAGCTACAGACATTAGATATTTGCATGGTTTAGTGCAGCACAGATCAAAGAATGGAAGTACCAAATTGCAAAACAAAGGAGACACAGACCAAGTGTAATATGTTGCATAATAAGTGCATGAACTGAATGATCTTTTTTCTCCAGGCTGGGAGGAAGAACTGTTTTAGGTTGCTTGATAAACATCAGCTATGGGAGAGGAAATGGCTGCTACAAACTCATCATCAACTTATATAAAATAGAGTTTTTACATTACATTAGAATGAATATACAGCACAGAAACAGGCCATTCGGCCCAACTGGTCTACGCTGGTATTTATGCTCCACATGAACCTCTTCCTGCCCTTCCTCAAGTAAGCCTTCAAAGCATAACCTTCTATTCCTTTCTCCCTCATGGATCTATCTAGCTTTCCCTTAAATACATCTTTTCAAGAAGAGTACTAATTTCAAATCAAATTCAAAACCTCAGGATTGAATCAAATTCCAAATTCCACATCTCAAAGCGCATCACAGGGATGGAGTACTAGCCTGAGCCAGGAGGGAGACGGGTGGGCTAGAAGACAGGTGGCTAAAGGTGGTCAAAGAGATAGGTATTCAGCAGATTTTTGAAAGCAGATAGAGAGCGTATAAGGTGGAGGGATTTAAGGACAGTTCCAGAGAGAATGGGAAGGTAGGACTGCAAGAGATAATGGTGTGGAGTAACAATCAAGAAATAGTTTTAATAGCCTATAATCTCCACCCTGCTCAGATTACGAGGACACCCCAAAATGTTAGAAAGCTACCCCAAATCCATCTAACAACTGCTGAGAAGAAAACTAAGCAGCGTATGTTTTCCTTTTAACCAGTAATGCAATAATGAATCATCAATTGGCATTCAGATCTCACATTTTCCAAAGTAATTTTTTCTTAGGATCTCACAATTAATGATTATAAGATTTAAAAAACAATGCTTAAATTGCGAGAGGCACAACTCTCGAAATAGTTAAGTCTTCCAATTTCAGATGAATTATTTGAATAGTATGTTGAAAAACTCAGTCATTTTTTTAATTAATGTCTGACTTACTGTCTGTCATGAATGAACAAAAAATATGATTTGGGAATTAAGGCAGCCTGCGGATTCAAGGAACATGTGCTGTGTAACTCCCCTACTGGAGTGATCCACTCTAATCCCATTCCTCTACTCTCCTCAATTAAGGATGAATTCAAATTTTAGAACAAAATTAAAAACAGTTTCTAAAGTGGTTGATACTTACTTTTAGTCAAGATCTGAAGATCTTCTACAGATGGAGGGCCACCTTTCCTCTCGTACGGAATAACTGTTGTCAAATACTGTCATAGAAAGAGAACAAGGCTTAAAAGTCATAGAAAGAGAAAAGTAACAATAATTCCAGCCTGCTGGATGTTAATCCCCAGTTCGTAATATGAAGTAAAGGCTGCTTTATTAAACACTACTTCACTAAAGCCAAGTTCACTATTTGCTGGGAAGAGCACCACATACCTCCTAGTAAAGATCACTCAAGGCACATGAGTGACTTGAATGCCAATGGAATGTCAAATTATCACCCACCCTACTCAAGGAAAAAAGAAGTACAAGCACTATAATTTTACCTGAAGAGCATTTAACACTTATCCCATAAAACCTCACATCTGAAGCAAGCCAAACATAAAGAGAATGGTCAAGCTTTACAAATGGTATTCTTTAACATTTGCATGTTGTGGTGACGAGCTACATTGGAGATTAGATTTGTTTTCTGCACAACATTCTAGATACGTTCTTATACAAACTGACTCACTGGGGAAGCTTAACTAAAGCTGGTTTAAATCCCACAAAATGTTATTACTGTATTGGTTATTTGGTGCAAGAGGAATTGGGAAATTAAGGTTTTATTGTACTTGCCCTCAAAATTAATGGTGAAGCGAATTGCTACAGAGCTTAATGAAATTTCTGAAGAATTATACAAGAAAGCTAATTGAACGTGCTGTCAGATAAGATTAACTAGAAAACAAAGAACTAATTGAACTCTGAGTTCCTTGACATCACATTAATTAACTGCTATGTCAGAAAGGTGACTTCAGTTTTATTTAATAACATAACCAAGGCTAGCAGGCAGGGGATAAGTCGCTAGCAGTCAGGGGTAAGTAACTATCAGCAGAATGCTACACTGTTACTTCACAAAAATATGCAACAAAATTTGCCTGACAGGTAACACTTTCCATCATGTGGTTAATGTGGTGTTTAGATAACACAGTACATTTTTTCTATAAGTTCTCCTTGCAGTCAATTTATGCCAACACTTATTAAAAATCTGATGAATTAATCCATTATTAGATATTAGTTTATGATTGATAAAGAGATATCTGAGAGGATGCAGCTCAAAAACATAGCAGAAACATATAAATCACTAAAGGAAAAATATGCAGATGCTAGAAATCTGAAATAAAAACCGAAGTCGTTGGGAACACGCAGCAGGGCAGGAAGCATCTATGGAGAGAGGAAAGTGAGTTAACGGTTCGGGTTAATGACCTTTTCATAGAATCATAGAATTATACAGGAGGCCATTCGGCCCATTGTGTCTGTTCCGGCTCTTTGAGAAGAGTTATCCAATTCAATCCCACTCCCCCGCTCTCTCCCCATAGCCCTGCAAACTTGCCCTCCCCAAATAATTATCTTTTGTGATCGACCTGAAACATTAACTCACTTAAATCACTATATCTTTTCAGAAAACATTGACTGCGTATTTCCATTTAATAAAGAGTTATAAAGCAAAAGACAGTTGAATGGGCAGAGTATGTTAAAAATAGATGTACTACAGTAGTAGGTTATTTTTGTGGTAGACCAGCAACCCTGGTGATACTTTGAATTATATTCTCTCGGTTATTATTATTTAGTAAGTAATTATTTAGTGCCTTTCCTGTTGGGAAGATGCCCCAAAGGATGCTCCAAAGCACCTTCACAGTGCTGCATGGGCACCTGAGCTGGGAATGGGAGCTGAGAAGAAGGGTCAGATGACCAAAAGTGTGGTCAAAACAGATAGATTTTGAGATGTGGCATGGAAGAGGGGAGGGAGAGAGCAAGTCAGAGGGACACCGACCGGGGTGGGAGTTTCAGAGAGTGGGTACAGAAAAGTTGAAAGTCCGCCCATAGATTGAGGCAGCAGGCTGGTGTTCTCTGAGCAAAGGGTGCGACCGGGTTGGTAGCGTTGAGACATGCTCCCAGGTCTCGGCCAATGAACCCGAACCAGCAGCAGGGAGATTTACAAGAGAGCTAGGATGATGCACTATCCAGCATTTCTAATGGTATCATATGCCACAGAAAAATGACTGTTTTAAGAATATTAACCCTCTGGGGTAGACCCACCATGTTGAATTCATAGTCAGTAATTTGCAGTTCTTTAGAAGATTAAAAAACTTTTTTTTATGCTGTAGAAGTTTTGCAATTTGGTTGATAAACATAATAACATAGAAACTGGATGGGCCACTACCTCCTAAATAAACACATGTTTATTTGGGGCAGCTGGGAATGCTGTGGAAAATTATGCATCACTTAAGTAAACATGATTCCATTTCTACTTCCTTTTGTGAGCATCGTCTTTGAACTTGGAAACACAGGACAGCGAGATCATAACTGATATTTCAATTAGAGATTTCCTCTATGCTAAAGTAACACATAGCAACAACAACAAACAACAAATTTCATTTACATAGCTCCTTTCACATCAGGAGAACGTATCAAGGCACTGGAAAACATTGATTTAATAATGTTTTGCTTTTGAAGGGTCCTGTTTTACCACATTGCTTTCCCATCAACAATGAAACTTCTTTACCTTCATTTCCTTTAGGGTACTGCGAGGAAGAGGATTCTGAACCACACCTTACATAGACACATAAAAACCCTGTGCAACAATATCAAAACAAATAATGCATCTTTTATTTGGGCAATAACCACTGAGTCCTGTAGCTCAGTGGCTAGAGCACTCGCCTCGCAAGCGAGAGACCTGGGTTCGATTCCTGGCAGGGCGAAATGTTGGGCAAGTTTCCTTACTCCACACACCTCTGTTTACCTAGCAGTATGTAGGAACCTGATTGTTAGTCGATTGGCGGATCGCTTTTCCAGGGGTAATAATTCCTTCAAAAGAAATGATAATAAATTGGTCACTTCAATCCATGACTGTTTGTGGGACACAGTTGTGCGCAACTGGCTGCCGCGTTTTGCCCACCAAATATGCAGTCAATTCACTTTACAGTATATTCACTTTAGGTGCTATATCAAATGCAAGGATTATTATTATTAGCTTGATACATCGTGAGCTGTAAGTCTCCTGGGGCACACCTGATGGAACACAAAACTATTCAAACCCAGTTTCTGATTTACCAGATCACTTCACACTCATTCCCATTATGTTGAGTGTAATGGGAATGAAAAAAATCATGATCAAAGCACAGCATTTTTACAGTGTGGGTGTTTTCATTGTTATTCATGCTGAATACTGTTTTACCTAAACTTAAGACAAGAACATTAGTTCTAATACTGTCGTGTGAAAAAGAAAAAAAATTGTGCACCACCAGAAATTAACGCAGTCCTGTCACTCAAAGGCAGGTTCCAGACTTAAACCTCCAAATTTACAAAGAACAAGTATCTGATATTAGATGTGTCACTGGTTAGAGGTGTCAAGGCCAGTTGTTTCCGTACAGGAAATGAAAAATAAACTATAGGATCTCCCAGTGAAACAGGAACCTAATCTCTCTCTCCCTCCTCCAGCGCTTATGAACATACAACATGATTTTTGCTGATGCTCCTAATGTAACTGCTGGGAATGCAACCTATAGGCTTCAGAGATCTAATATATGTGGTGCAATTTGGCTTCAGTCCACAGACTTCAAAGGAACTTTAGATCCTGGCCAGATTCCCAAACTGCAAATCGTAAATTATGATATATCAGGAGCAGAAACCCTTTTCAAGTCAGCACTTCCTATTTTAGTGCTGTACAGAACAGGTCTCCTTCCTTGACAAAAGCTTTAGAAGTCTGTACTTTCAAGACGATGATGTTAAACTACTTCTAGAAAGAATGATCAACAATCTTTATCAATAACATTTTGCTGATGGTTGACACTTCAATTCTGAAAAATTCATCCATCCTCCTTCAAACCATTAGATATGATTCCTTGGGATCAGATGAAGGAAGTAACTTTAACAAGAGGTCTGAAATTCCATGGCAGAAAAGAGGTTTGCTGGATTTTCACTGAGGACGTGGACTCCACTGGCCAATTTCACACCCAGCCCAGTAGGATGCACGACTTGGAAGTTAAGATCTAATTCCTAATGGAAACAATAACTACTTTAAATGGAGACAATGATACTAGCGCTGTGGCACAGTGTAACAGAGTGTGGGAGTGAGGGAAGATACAGGTTTAATCCTTATACTGATAAATTGTTGATATTGCAACATTAAGTAGAATGATATGGCGTGGAAGCAGACCATTAAGCCCAACAACCTGTGCCGTTGTTTACACTCCACCGAGTCTCCAATCCACCTATTCCCCTCTCCCATACTCTTTTATTCCCTTTTATCTGACGTATGCATCAACTATCCTATTAAATACATTGATGCTTTTTGCTTCAGAAACAAACATCTCTTTGTGTGTCACTAGGTGGCACCATTTCAAACCAACAACCCTGCAAGTGACCATCTCCAAAACACATTTCTGACCTACTTTAAAATGATCTACATGCACCTCAATTAATTGGCGATTGTAGATTTAGTTCCTATATCTTCTACATATCTTACCAACTTGTTCAGAACAACAATGGCTGATTTGTTAGAATGTACAGAAATGTTTTCTGCCTCAATACAAAAATGCAGATTTATCCCAAACACAATACAAATTAACATTTATATAATACCTTTCACGTCAGGACGACGACAGGTAAATGATTCGGTAAACTACGTGCAGCCATTACCTGCAATTGGCAAGATCTTATTACTGGAATATTCAGTGATGAATAATTAAAGTGAAGTTGATCACAATGACACAATGCACAACTGGTATTTTAAGACAACGCACTTGAATCTTCATTAATAACATTTCGCTGGTGGTTGATGCATCGACTATGAAAAGTGAAAATTCCACTTCTGTGTGATTACCTTCAATGCTTAACCTAAATCTTTGAAAAGACACTTTTATTTTGCTAAAATACAGAGATGAGCGGCACAAATATGCACACCGCCTACTCAGCACAAAACCACAAATGTAGCAAGCAATAAATTCATGAATAGGAAGGTGACTAGGGGGAGGGAATTTAAAAAAGGCACCTGTTTTTCACCACCCGAGCTTCCAAATGTCTGGCGAAAGCCATTCTGAATAACATTGGAAAGTCCCTCCATGCTGAAACGCTGAAGCAGCAGAAAGCAGAAAAAGGACAGAGAAAGAGCTATGAAAATCACAGCCTCACTAACAACACTGCACAACAGGGAGAACATACAAGGAGGAACAAAAGCTACTAAGACAAACATTGAAATACAAGAGCGTTAGATTGAGATTAGATTCACCTTTACATAAGTAAAAATGATATTGTGTAATCAAACCATAAAGAAAATTCTTTCAGGAAAAACTTGACATATCCAAGTTTGTAAGTTTTACAAATATATATATAACTTTTATAACAGTTTTAAAACATGCCTGGAAACAAATAATTTTGATAAGCATGACATGTGACATAAAAACTATTTTTTTTCCTTTTCCTGTTAAAAGCCTACTAAACGTGTAAGATCTCATATTTTATAGCTAAAAGCGCCTGAGATACATCAGTTGTATCAGTACAGAATACATGCAATCTTAGTTCTGAATAGTAAAATTCAATCATTTCAAAGCTGCGGATAGTTTTTTCTTTATTTAAATGAAGATTTTCCAGGATGTAAGCGAAGGTTTTTATGAAAAGAACGGATACTGATCAAACTGCCTGGAATATACAAGGGAATGTTGCAGACCGTACAGGAAACATTTTAAGTAAATAAAATACATGAAATTGGACTCTCTTCCCTCCCACAATTGTCAGAATCAGATCAAAAATCTGAATTTAGGGGGAAAAGTATCTTATGCTCCCATTTCAAATCTAGAACTCTAAGTAACAGTTGCAATAATGCATTTGTGCATTTTTTNAAAAATGGAAATCTATAGCAGCTCATGGGAAAATGGTAGTATCCACATATGTCTGGCTTTGTGATTCTGACACATCACAGTGCCGGTCAATTCAGATTTTTTTTATTGTTGATGCGAGTGAGTATCATAACCATTTAAAGGAGCACTCCTGTGTTATATTATTATTATTTTGGCTTGAGGATGCTTATTGCTACTTGTGCAGAGAGGTGGGTATTGTCCATAATCATCAAATAAAATGGACAACAGATACTTTTAAGTAAGTGGATTGTGAAAACAACTCCTAAGTGATTGAAGCCTAAACTTCCAATTAGACATTTGCTGATAAGAGTCTCAGAGCTGCCCGTCAATCAAACCTGCATGCTTCAGTTGAATGCACTTTGTCAATTCTCAGCTAGATTGGGGGTCCATCTCAGGGAGAGTACGATTTAAATATGTATGAAAGGCTTAGTGGGGGAGGTGAGAGGAAGACCTGATCACCATCTCTAGCGTCCAATTCCTTTTTTCTTTCAACAAGGCACTGAAGGAAATTTTCTTTTACATCGAGAAGTTAACAGGCTTTTGTCTTTCACATACAATTTTAAACTTCATAGAAAACCAAACAACAACGCACCTCAAGTAACTTATTAATGAAGGCACGTTTAAATTACTTATCAATGAAGGTGAGTTGGTCTATAAAGTCTTAATGTAAAATAAAATCACTTATTACTATAATAATACTATATAAGTTATTACTAGGAAATTCAGCTGAAAAGCAGAACTGAATCTTGGGATTTGTGATGGAGGTCAATTTATCACCGCTGAAAATAAGTACAGTGGAGCAGTACAAAATGAGTTTGGGAATGCAGCAGATTGAATTTGAATAGAAGCACTGATATAATAATGATATTATTCTCCCCCCATGCCAACCTTACACCACACTATAATGCTACATTTAATCCATTAATGACAGGTTCATATTACAGAACTGTTTTGGATGCAATTCTGCGACATCAGCAAAGGGTCTGGGTGCTCTACAACATCCTTCTTTATATTACAAATAGGCTTCTGTTTTGGGATTTCTAAAAATAAAATTGAGGTTTTTCGGGGATTTCACTTTCTGTAATGTAAAGATTCAGACTCACCTGCGCACACAGAGAGATCCCTTCATTCATGCGCAGTACTCCCCTTCTTTCAGTTTGTGAGAGGAGGGAGACACTGCGCATGCGTGCGGTTACCTCTCTATCCTCCGAGTGCGCTGGCATGTCTGGTGATACATTTGTGAGAGGAGGGATGCATTACGCACATGGAGAAGAGAGTCACAGAGAGCGAGAGTAACCCATGCATAGTTGGCATCAGAACAGGTAACCATTTGCGGTGTTTTTCCAGTGGGTATTGAATAAACACCGACTTCAATATTTTCGTATCCGGGGGGTGGGGGTTTGTTGAAACCGAAAATCAGAAGCCGTAATCACAAATAAACATGTGCATTTGTCACGATGCAGTTTCCAGAGACCGTGCAGCTGGGAAAAACACTGTACAGGTCAGAACAAATTTTATAAGAACACAACAGTGTGCACGACTGAACAATTTTTGCAGTCTAACTGGTCAATCCCAGGCCTCTGCTGTCAACAGCAAATAACTACGCTCAGTGAAGAAAAAAAGTGCAACACAAATCTCAGCCTCACAGAGGTACTCAGCACCAATAGCCATCCACAAAGCAGAATGGAATGAATTTAAACAAAAATGAAATAAGTACCAATAGTAACGATATACTCCACAATATGTTTAACACAGGATGCCTCAGGCGTGTTCGTCATGAACACAATAGCACATTATTTTTCTAATTCTGTAAATAAACATTTCTCAGTGATCAGTCTGGGTTCGTTTGACAAATTCAGAATATTTGACACAAGAGCCACACCTGTTAGAATTAGTTACCCATTTCCAAACATTAAAATGTAAGTTGAAAACAGTATCCAATAACAAGTTCTACAGCTTTAAAATGTGTTAAATTCATGATTTCCCCTTCTCATTATCATTCTTAGCCTATGCCAGAAAACACATCTTTGACAGCTTACAGTCAAGTAATAGGATAACACCAGCTCCCCTGTCACAAGATCAAACACTTCTACAATCATAAAAATTCAAAATGATTGCTGCTCCCCACTCCACCCCCAGAGGATTGTTGTCACATTGTAAAAATGAAAGGTACTCTAACGTGTCCACAATACTGTTGTGTTTTTTTNAAACAGGACCGGGAAATGATTAATCACCCCCATCCTTTAATTTTACTCCATAATAACATTCCTTCCACAACCAGAAAGAAAATTATTGCTTCTTTCTTCCCAAAATAACCCGACAACTGAATCAAAAGCATTCCGCCCAATCCACATCAATCAGATTAATTTGCAACTCACCGTCCCTGGCATGTGACTTTTCTCCTGTTTCCCATTCTGCGGGCTGCTGTTCTTTTGTTTCTTCTTCTTCTTCATGGTTTCCCTGTGCTCTTTCTGCTTGTTTTGGACTTCAATGAGTATAGAGATGAAACTGTTCTTCACCTCCTTCTCAAATTCCAGCTCATCACGCAGTGCTAGTTGCTGGATTAGTTCCTCAGAGTAGTCTTTTATCGCAGTCTCAATCTCCTCCAGAAGCTCATTTAATTCAGCCATGGACAATCGCTTCACACCTGAAAAAACATGTGCCAAAACAAATCCTGATGAAATTTATGAAGATGCAAGAAGATGTTCCGTAGCTTTGCAAGGAAATCAAAATTTTGAGTTTGAGCACTGATGTTGACAAGATAATCTGCAAACATAGTAAAACTACTCAGTATTTGACATCTTAGAAAGAAAAATTCACTCCCAGCTACACATTGAGGTCAGAAAAAGCAAAATCTTCATGGAGTGAATATGTAGTGTCTGATAAGATTTTGTTCAACAGATGAATAAAGTTACTGAATGATGTAAGGGGAGAAATTCCATCTAAGTCTAGATTTACTCTATTTATGTAACATTTCAAAACATCCAGAATCTATAAGTTCTTTTCAGATCTACAGAAAACTAGCTTCAAAGTTTTTATCAATATTTCAATTGGATTCTTTATTTATCAAATTCTGGATGCTATTAATTGTTATAAAAATCTAGATCCAGGTGGAATTGTAATGATCTCATCAACACAATACTTACACTGAACAAAAGCCTACTGAAAGGATTGCAGAGAAAACAAGGATACCTCTGCAGACCCAAGGGAAATTAATGTTGTGGCCTTATGTCATATGCAGAATTGCGCATACAATACTGAACAATTAATTTACTGGTGAAATGCATACTTTACTAAGTGTTTTACTAAGGTTGATATCTTTGACTGTGGACAATTATCTAGAAACAAGTCAAGTCTAATTTTCAGTGTTGCTACTGAAAAAAGGCTTCAATTTCCAAACAATTCACAAAACAATTCCTTAGGCAGATGTCATAGGCATATATAGGCATACCTCATATAACTGCTGAAGTATATAAATCAAAACACCAGGGTCATGGATTTTCCCCACACAGCTCTTGTAATCTTGAGCCATAGGCAAGCTAAAGCCATAACAGATAGGGTGATCCTAGCTGGACATCGGAGGCTTGCCAGACAGTGCTTTCAATAGCAAACTATGTAGTTTGGGATGGTTAGACTCCAGCAGTATCCCAACTCACATTCTAGGCTCCCAAGCATTGGCTCTTGCCAACCAGAGCTTAGTGCTCTCCAGAATTACTTAAGCAGAATGCATCCCCCCAGGGAGACTGCATATTCCAATCCAAATACAGGAATTTCCAATTGTAGGTGGCATGCATGGAACTCTTAGTTTGGATAATCTTAAGCATGGTGATGGATTTCCGTAGAGACCCAGCTGACCCCCAAAATACAAATCTAAAGTTACAAGTAAATCAAGATAACAGTTTGATTAAATTTAAAAAATACATTGAAAGTTATATTAACAGATATTATGTGTCAATACAGTAATTATTTACTATACACACTTCAAATGATGTCCAGCATTAGGAATCAGTACTTGGCTGTTCTACTCTGGATCACCAATCCAGTCTGCCATTGTTCAGCTTTGTTCCTATTGAGTTTGACTGATTCAACTATTCATCATGGTTAACTTTAAATTTAACCATTGACAACGATAGGGAAAGGTTGCCCAAAGTCAAGTGACAATCTTGGGAGCAAGCAAGCTGTAAACACATAATTGGTTTGGACTGGGTCCTAGGGTTTATTTGGAACTTTAGCATGTCTTGGAGATGAAAATGTTCTTTAACAAGTGTTGTTTATAGCATCCAGCGTTTTAAAATGGTTAGAGCACTGGGGAAATGACTTTTCTGGTGATTGTCGAATAACAACCTATTCCAGATCCCAGTTTGCACCGGGAAAGGGCTCCTCCTTCTTCCCCTTTCCTGGCTTTAGTAATATCCAGAGACAAAATACTCCGGAATATATTGATATATGTGTGAAAGGATGAGTTGTTTTTTTCAAGGGAGTGCTGATCCCTTCCCCAGTTCTGCAGGATGAATTTAAAATGTAAATATTAGAACAAGGAGAGATATTAAATTTGTCAGACAACACAAAGGGCATGTTGTGAAACCAATCGTAAATTGAGCAGGCACCCTATCTCCCTGACTGTTAGAATATGACCTCCTTATCTTTAATTTCAGGCTGCTGTTTTACCACAGAGCCCTCTTCTGTAACAATTTATAGTCCCAGTGATTACACTAATGAGACAAACCAAGACTATTAATGCTGACACTGGGGAATTGTAGCAAAATGTGAAGGTACAACAGAGTATAAGAAGCTTTGTTCCATGTCCCTCTTTGGAGGCCAGATGATTATATAACCAGTTGTGGAAATCACCAAAACAACTTTCTTTCTCTTCCTTTAATAACTTAGAAAAGACTTCATTTTGGTTCTTTTGCTTCCAAAGAGCAATATAGATTTGAAGATACCAGATATAATACAGTTAAAAGTCAATTAAGTCAAGGAATAAGATTCATTCAACTCATTTCAGTATAGGTCCATAAAATCATCAAGCCAGACAACTGTATGTCTGAGAACGACAGTCTTAGTGAGGGGTGGTGAGGGGAGGGGGTTGTAATTTGCAAAACTCCAACAACTACTTTCATTTATGTAGAACTCTTCACATGCCTCTCGGAGCACCACATACTCAGAGCACGGTGTAACTGATCTTGCTTTGATATTCAGCCAAATGGAAAGTAAGGCTGCTTCATATAGCAACAGATTGTGAAACAGCCGTCAGCTATTGGCCTTTTCCCAGTTTATCTTGTAACCTGCTAAATTCCTGTACCTTTTCAGTTGCACCCAGGGGGGATTATTTCAGGAACAGATTCCTGTGGATTGGTCATGAAGAGCAGTACTGTCTTTTTATTAAAACTGATGAAGAGTGGTCACTGATGCACGCTACATGCATTGCAGCAGACACTCCCACAGTTCACAAGATCACATGATTGGTTTGGGTGACGAGGCCCTTCGGCCCATTCAACTTCATCCAACTAGAATACCAACTGTATCTCTGCTGCAGTGATTCAGTGCCTTAGGACTTCCTCCAAACATGAAAGACGCTATATAAAGGCAATTTATTGCAAGTGATTAAACTGTTCAGACAAAGTGTGAATTTCCTCCACACCATAAGTAGATCTGTAAAACGACTCGCTCTCATTCCTGAGATCCAGAAGGTGAAAGAAGCACTAAAGTCATAAAGCTTACACCAGCTTGAGCATTTTTTTAAAAAGATTTTCTCCACATCCAAGAAGAGAATCACTAACACAATATTGAATTATTTATAGTGTTGGGTTAAGCGTTTTCCTTACATTATTACATTAGTTGAGTAAGAGAATGGTGGCCAAAATAAAGATACGTGAAATAGATGGAGAAGCACAGCTGAAAAACAGGCGGTAAAGAATAAAAATGAAGGGTTGTTTTTTCACTTGACTGACAATTAGTGATTTGTTTCAGGAATCAGCAGAACGCCCGCTCTTCTTCTCTACAAAGGTCAATGACCTTGTAGAGAATAGTTGAGGGAATAATATCTAAATTTGCAGATGTTGCTAAATTTATGAGGTATTATTAACAGTGACAAAGATTGCAGGAAGCTACAGGCAGATATTGACAAATTACCAGACTAGGCAGATTTATCGAAAATGGAGTTTAATATATAATAAAAAGGTGTACTTGAGGAGAAAGACTGGGGATCAAAGGTATACCTTGTAAAATCAAATTTTCATTGCAGTAAAGGAATAGAGGGATCTACAGGTACAACTTTATAGTTTGTTAAAAGTGAGACTGAAGGCAGAGCAGGTCATTCAAAAGCAAATAGGATTCTGGGGTGTATATACCGAATGACTGAATACAAAAGTAAGGAAGTTATGATGAATATGGATAAGACATTGTTTAAAATATGCTGTACCCAGCTAAAATTTTGTCTGCAGATTTGGGCACCACATTGTTGAAAGTATATTAGAGATTAGGAGAGGGTGCAGTGCAGTAACACCAGGATGATGCTGGAACTGCAAGGATATAGCTTTGAGGAGAGGTTAGAGTGATTTGGACTTGATCTGTTGCAGCAAAGAAGGTTGATAGGTAAAATGAAGATGGCGTTTAAGATAACGAATGGGTTTCAGAGAATCAATCGTGAAAAACTCTTTTCACTGGATTTGAAGTGACGATGGCACAAATTCAAGATCATCACCGGGGTAATAAAAGGATAGATTTGGAAGAATTTCTTCTCCCAGTAGGTTATCAGAATATTTGCCAGGGTTTTAGAGCAGTCAATTAGGGACATTTAAGAGAGAATTAGAGAAGGAAGGGCATTAGAGGGTATGTGGAGGGAACTGGGATTAGGTTGGATGGCTTCTTGGTGGAATGAACACGGTAAAGAAAATTGTGAAGAATTTGTGTCCTACCCCCTCCACCTCTCCTGATCCCACCTCTGCTCGGGTCCAAATCCTTAACTATCCAGGGTCTTGGGACGTTCTCCCAACGTGAAAGGCGCTATACAAACGTCATTTGTTGTTGTTGTAGTACGTTTCTATAATTCATTATCTGTACCACATGAATCCTACCTGGTTATTGAGAATCATCTAGCTTTTCTAAGCATTTGCTTCAAATCTTTATTTTGGTTTTAATCTACATCATACAATGTGCAATTTTCAGTAGAACCCAGGTGAACATTTGGTTCCTATGCTCCATACCCCAGAAGTTCTCATCAAACTTATATAGAACTTTGAAAAAACATTTTTTGGTTAGCTGGATGTCTGACACATGCAGAAACCCGTGACCATGTTTAAGAGTATCCAAACTAGACTGAGAATTCCATGCATTTGAGCATGAAAGTAAGGAAAGTAAAATCTGTCTGGCAAGCTTTCCCATTGCTTGTCCAGCTAGGACCATGGTTAGGGTTTTGGCTTGAAGGGTTAACAGGAGCTAAATTGGAGGATTCCCTAGATATTTTAAATTGAAGAATGTGCTTCTTAAAAGATGGATTTCTTTAATTTCATGCTCACATTTTCTCAGTGCCTCAAGGCTATCTCTTCAATTAGATGCTACTTTTAGGAAATCATGCAGACCTCAAAAATTGTTATCTTTATCCAAATGTGAAAATAATCAACTTCTAAAGGCTTTCACTACCTGTCAGCCCGTGATGACTGATTTCAAGTCTGATGTAGTGAATATCATTGGCTTATTGGCTGGTGACCTGCTTGCTTCCCCACAGTTCACATGCAAAAAATGTCCTACTTTCTTCTTATTCAAATGATTGGAACAATTTTAATCTTATTGACAGTAACATATTCAAATCCATTTGAATTTAATAAATTTCTGCAGCATTAAATAGAAACTTTGCATTCTTTCAGTTTTTTCCAACTCTAACCCATCCATAAAGAGTCACTCCACTCGACAGCCATTTTCTTAAAAGTTGGAAAGAGTTTTGCGACGTTTTTGAAGTGATAAGTTTCCATAAAAATTATCCTTCTATAAAATTATTTTTGCTTTCTTTCATTGTTTTGAAGAGATAAATTTATAATAATCCAACCTGCTATCATAACTTTGGCAGTTTCCCAAACCAGTAGAGGTGAGACAGTGCAAAATATTATTCAGAGAGAATCCCTGAATTTTTGATTTGATGAATGTGGGAAACATTTACTCTATTAGAAGGGAGTTAGTGCCTTTCTAGTGAAACAAGTATTTTTAGTAACAACTTTGGTAAAAAAAACAATCTGCTGGTATATTAAAACTCCACTAAAATATATGTAGCATAAAATGAACTGCAAAACCAATTAGTAGTCTACAAGTCACCTTCAGCGTTGAACAATGTTTTTTGGCACCATTCCATACTTAGAGCTCAGTTTTGTAACCTATTAGATATACGCTGAATAATTTTGTCATCATCTGGCACCTTTCCACGAGAAAGCTCATGGTAGCTCCAGTTGGTAGACAGCAGGGAAGAATTACAACATTAACTGTTGAAGGTTTCACACTAGGAACAACATTTGAAAGTGTGTGGCTGGGTTATTCGCAAGTTTCCTCCCAGGGAAATAACATATTTCTAGTTGCTAAATCTGGTAACATTTTAAATGTATGTACTGAAATCTGTATTAAACGTAGAACTTAGACACAAATCATAGTGTAGATAAGCTTAAAATTATGTAGACTGCCAAGTCAATACAAGGAGAAATTAATGGTACTTCAAACAAACATAAACAGACCCAGATTATAAATTCCCCTTTGTTTTAATTTTAGCTGTAAAGAACAGAGAAAATGATGCAGGAGACAGCAAAAGACTGATTTTGTATGGTGTCCCAGTATACCCTTGTTAGTAAGCAGGACCCGAGAGACATTTTATAAAGACTTCATCACAGTCTACTACAGAATCAGCTTGAACTTTATATTGACAATGAAACTCTGGACCGTTAGCCTAGAATGGGAAGGATGCCAATCACTGCTCCACACAAAGACAGCCGCTCAATGAGACTTGCTGCATGCATCAATAGCAGCTCCTTTCTGTCCAGGAGACCTGACACAATGAATCTCCTACGGATTGCACTGCAAATCTCAAAACTTGGAATATTTCCTCCCTAATTAGCAGAATTTAAAAATTTTAAAAATTACCATAATGATCAGGGGTTGAACAAAATCAATTCAATACTATCAAGAAAGATAGACTGATACCCCCTTTCCAGGAACAAATGCACCGTGGCCAGTTGCTATTCATAAAGCCCACAAAATTTTGGTGTCAAATTGTTCCTCTCCTATGATGTACTACATACTATGAGTAGGAAATAGGAGGAGAGGCAGAAAATAAAATCACACAAAAATAAGGTTGGACACATTGTTATGCACCTCGCCTGTGTTTTATCTGGAGATAGTTGATGAGAATCCCCAAATGCAATAAATAAAGATAGGTGAAGAGAAAGTAGGGAAATCTTTATTACCCAACATTGACGGATGAGATTGCCGAAACTCACTTCTGTAGCTGAGAAAAGATTCCCATCCATTCATAAGTTATCTTTAATAATCCTTGCATTTGATATAGCGTCTTACCACATTGTTGAAATAGGGTATTTTAAAATATTTAAAGTATTTAAGATATGTTAAACCTCTGACCCATAATCAAATTCTGTGAATGCTCCCTCACTTACACCAAGCCCTACCTCACATTTCAATGCCACCATCAGCACATATTGCTCTCACCAGGCCCTGAGGAAACCACTAAAAGACTGAGTCAGAGGGTGTGACATTCACAAACAGATTAAGTTTCAGGTATTCCCAGCAGTTTAAAATTGTAGTTTTAACTGAAGCATTCAACTGTGGACATATCCACTGTTTGCAATATCATCCCTTTGAAACCAAAATCAGGTTAGGGAGAAAGAGAAAGAAATTGGGGGAGAGAAAGAATGAATCTCATTGTTCAAATGCTTTCAAAATCATTGTTCCAATAATGCAAATTGAAACTTTCAATACAGGCATCAAAAACACTTACGTTCTTCATAGCTGTTACTCGTGTTAGACCTCTTAAGTGTCTGAATTTCCTGGGAGAGGATGGAGAGGCGGTCAGACTGTGTGGGTGTGTCATCTTCCTCAGGGTCTGGAGACTCTTGCATCATTTCCTCAATTTCCTCAATCACCTTGTAAAGAAACAAAACAGCTGCTTTGAAATAAGACTTTTAGTGGAGGATCAATACACATCTTATTTCATTGTCTTTTAGAAAAATAGAGAGAAACTTACCTTGTTCAGTAACCAGTTCGCACCACAATGTTTTCATACATGTACTGACTATTTATACCATAAATAGGTCCATTTATCCATATGTTATCCTCAAAATGTACACTCATCCACAAACACTGTTCACTCCATTATTTTCACAAAGTCCATCCCCCATACACAAAAATAAAGAAAATTGCTTACAATCTCTAAAATTCAAACACAGAGAACTAAGAACAAAAAGTGTCCAGGTGCTAAGGAGATACGGTTAATAGTCTCTCAGGTAGTCTGACCTTAGCCTCCCAGCTGGAAGATAAATCGGCAGGCTGAACTAGTTAAACAACCGGGAGCTAAAGCATTTCCTAGCTTAAACACTTCCTAAGGAGTTACCATTCAATAAATGCTGAACAATTTCTATTAAGGCCCACTGATTCTTTAAGGACGGATTACTGATGAAAAAGCAACAAAATAAGTATTTGGCTCAGTTGCTATGTTAATTATTTTCAGTATTTTTCCTTGAAAATGCAAGTTATAAGTAAAAACAACTTGGATATGCAATTCCCCCATTTTCTATTGATTTAGGCAAGAAGATGATCTCCTCTTTCTCCAATGCCTCACCTGGCAAAAACACACAGCCATACGATATGAAACTGGGGCGTTTAGCCCGAGAGATGCCACATTTGACAGTCAATCTATTAGCCACAGCTGCTGAAGGGCTGCTCACATTTACATTCTTACAACTACCAGCAACCAAGGCCGTTTTGTTTATAAATAAAAGCCACACTAGGATTGTAGCCAACTAGGAAATGGACTTAATTTTGAGGGAAATTTATCCCAGGTGGCACATTTTGTCAACATTCAGTGGTTGGATTAGGGGACAAAAGTGAGAAGCTATGATGTCTGCGCTCACATAAAAGCTTGGATCATGCTACCTTTCTGATAAAAATAAACAATATGAATGTAATTTTGGCAACTTTGTCTTCAGGAGGGGGAAAAGAGGGAGAAAAAGCAGATTATTTAAATCAAGACAATTAATCTTTTCATCAACCAAAACTGCTTATTTGTTTCTTCTTACTAAAATGCAGCTTATAGGTATGATGGTGTATTGTAACCACACTTTAACATGGGTCTGTTTTACAGAAGACTGATAATATTGCAGCTAAACAAACTCAAAGGTGCAGTTTTAGTCTTAATAATCTGGCAACTGAAATCTTGATGGCACTTGCAAGTTAACACTTTGACCTGTATTACTGCTGCTATTTGTGTTGGTGAAACCTCAGTTCTGACTATTTATTAAATTGCTTTTTAAAATATAATTAAACCTGGTTGCCTTCTGCAGAGTTGGCTCTCAATATACAGATTGCGTGCTTGGATTACATTTACCTGCTCAGCCGTAAAGAGAGGCTCATCGTTTATACACGAAACAATGATGGAATGCATGTCCAGCTGCTCCCGAAGCTCCTCATCATCAGAGAGATCAAGGTTAAGGTTGTCGTTCAACTATAATTAAAGAGCATATTTTAAATCAAACTAACATTTTAACACACATTTGGTTTCAAATTTCACTTCATAAAGGAGCAGTACTCCTCTTTGATTCACTCTGAGAGTTTGTCATAACATTGGTACATTCTACACAGCTTTCAATAATAACTGCTTCATTCTAAATTACAATGCTCTTGCAAGTAGTGGTATAAAGAGATGAATCAGTTTGTATTCAATTTGTTAATAAAACTGTTCTACAAGCAAAATCCTATGTCTGCACAAGTTGAAAATGTAGTTTTTTTAAAGTTTACTTCAGTAATACTATGTCCTAAGATCACTTAAACTGCCTCATCACCTGTAGCATTTAAATATACATTTCATTCTGGTTATGTTGCTTTCAGTTAAGTTTATGTACTACCGTGGGACAGATCCGAATGGTTACTTTAATTGTCCAAAACCAAACCTCTATAATTAAGAGACCAGAAATGCACAACTGAGAGCAAGAATCAGCAAAATCATAATGAATTTTCTATTCTCATTTTACGTCTTTCAGGCCTGAAAACAATATTGCTCTGTGCTACATCCCAGGAGCTATTGCTGCCAGGTTCTGAAGCTAAGTTTGAAGACTCAACTGAAGCAAGCACATTTGGAAGCCCCATTTCTAATTTCCCCTTAAAAATCCAAGGAGATTTTTATTTTGCAGCTGATGGTGGAGAGGAAGGGATGAGGTACATGCAGGAGGCTAGAGCCAGCTAAGCAAAGGGGGCGATGTAGAGAGTGGGGAATAAACAAATCAGAGAGAAAGTGACATGACAATGAGTATCTTGAAATTGATCCATTCTGCAATAGAGAGCCAGGAGCTCCTTTAGCAAAAAGCAATGTTTACAATCTGGTAGAACTACCAGCTGTTTAGTTTTAAAAAAGTTACCTATTACAGTTGGAAGGGAAGTGGAGAACAGACTATTTCTTATTATGGCTGAATAATTATGATCTGAAACAAGAGCCGATATGACAGCTATTGTCTTAGCTTTCAGAACATACATTAGTGCATCATTCTTAAGTAATATAAATGATAATAATATTTTATAACAGTGGTATTCTTTTGGTTGAGAAATGAGCAAATTAGCAGCATCCGATTCAATGCGGTTCTCAGTCCTAAAGTTATACCTTTAGCTCAAGCTTCGAAAGGATTATTATCAGACGTTGTTAATAGTGGTGAAATGAGTTAACTGCACAGCTAGCATATTAAAAGTAACAGGAGCAATAGAAGCTTATCGTAATTCCAGTATTACACAAATCCAATCATAGTAGTTTCTCAAATTAGTACAGAAATGGCATTAGCTACTGCTGTTCAGGTTTGACTATTACCTAATAACAGAATGACAAATGTACTTTTCTCTCAGTGGGTTAGTGATATTTGCCACAATCACTTATTGTCTTTTTCAGTAATTTTGTGCTGAAGTAAACCAACAATTTGGAGAAATAATAGAAATTTAAAAATATAAAAAATCATAGAATGGTATACAGAAAGTGTTTAATATGATTTGTAATTTTTAATGACAGTGAATGTTCTTTATTATTGAATATGATATCTCAGCACCCAGAGCTACATTCAGGACCTCTGACTCTACTTATAATGTGAATGCCCACCCCCACCCCACCCCAGCATTAAACCAGGCTGATGTAAGGTTCAACACCTTCCTCTCACTTTTCTAATCAATCTTCATGCATGAATCCACACAGCAAGTGTCAAAAGGCCATTCAACCATGTGGAACATCAAAGTCCATCCTATCTTCACCGATCCCTGTCCAACAACAAGTACATCCAACAGTAAAAACCACCACCATCAACAACCAAAACAAGTGACCCCACCGATAAATTGTATTTATATAACAACTTGCATTTATAATAGTGCACCTTTTGCAGGGTAGCGTCCCAGAGCGCCCTTCTTGCAGGTAATATCTCTGAGCACTTAAAAGGCCAAGGGGCACTGAGGCCAATGCAACACCCTACATCTATTCAAGCTGAGATCAGCTAACTTAATACAGTTTAGCAGATCAAACCTAGCGCCTTCCAATCTATGGCTCAGCTTTAGTCCAGGCAGTGGTTTTACCAATTGAGCTACAGCAAGAGCCACAAGCAAAAGTATTGTTATGAATAGAACATCTGTAAAAGAGAAATAGGTAGCAGTAGCATGCCCCAGTGCAGACTTTTACAAGTTCGAAGAATGTTTCCCTGCATTTCATGCCTGACTGGATTTGTTAAACAAGATCTTGAAAAGCATTGTTTGTAAAGACTTGCATGTTCTGGTTAATATTAATAATAATTTGGTCACCCAATCCATGACTGTTTGTGGGACACTGCTGTACGCAATTGGCTACCGTGTTTTGCCCACAAAACACACAGTCACTAACTTTACAGTATACTCTGTGAAGCCCTTTGAGACGTCTTGAAGACGTGATAGGGCACTATATCAAATGGAAGGATTATTATTTAGACAAAACTAGAAATGCATAGACATTTCTTATGAATTTTGAACCATTTTGCTACTTGTCTTTTTAAGACAAATGTTTAAAAACAACAATCTCTAAACATTTCAAATCATTGTCATCACTAATAACTGAATAGGATTGCTTGTTTAAAGGGGGCTTAAGGATCACCTCCTGCATTCCGCATTAGGGACAAGGCTACGTTGCACCACTAACCATCAGAATTGCAAGCTAAAGAAGAGATCATAGCACAATAAGAGAGGTGAGCTACTGACAAGATAAGTGCATTCAATCCTCAAGTGGATTGAGCAGCAGAGCAAATTCAATTCAGCTTAGTTTGCTTTTTGAACACATCCTGAAAACCCTACTGTAGAACTGAAAATGGTAGCAGTCACAGTGGTGAAGTAATGTTGGCAGCAAGTAATTCTCAAACAAAAACGTATAATTCGAATTTTGGATTTTGCCTATTCTGAGTGGAATGCTAACTCTGTACCTTGGGAGTAATTGGAAGCAGAGAATTCACAAATCTCTCAGTGGCTCGCTCCAGACTTACCATCCAGCCTCAGGATGACTGCTGTATTTCGCTTTTATTAGATTCACTTTAATCTCATTTTTCTTTCATCACATAAACAAATCATTCCTACTGTGCTGAAGGGCCAGGCAAGAAAAATGTTCCTGAACAACAAGCTGTTGGGGAGAAATTCCACCCAGGTTTATATTTACTCTACTAGTACTGCATTTCAAAATGTACACATTTTTTAATTCAATCTTAACTTTGAAGTCAGGTTTCTTCAAGATGTGTGTGTATGTGCATCTGTGTGGAGGAGAAAATAAATTATTCCTTCCCAAAATTATCACATAGATGCATTATGAAATGTTGCAAATCTTACCTAATTGTTGCAAATTTCAGACAGTAAATCAAGTTCAATCTAAATTCAGTCTAAATTTGGGAACCATTCTTTTGTATTTCTGTAAAGGAATTACAGCAAGCTGACTTCAAATTTAAGATTGAATTTAACGTGTCAAAATTTGAATGGTTTGAAATTTTAAGATTAAAACCCTGTTGAGGCTGTTTTGGGCCTGTTTTAGGAAAATGGCACAATTCCCAAGATACTGTGGGATGATTTCAAGTAGAATAAGTAACAATAAAAATAATAAACGCAGGAATCATGTGAAGTCTTTAAACGATAGACAGATCAATATTTGGGAAATGAGGACTTTGAGGGTTAAAGAACGGGGTGAGGGGGTGGGAAATGAGATTAAAATATATTCTATGATCTACGAAAATGGTAGAACAGGTCCAAAGAACTTCTCCAGTAGTCCTACTTTCCTAGATTTAAATATTTCAATTTGTCTCCAACCACCAGCTATTAAATCCATTTTTTGATAAGGGCAAAATTTCAACCCACCAGAATAATGGTGAATCATAACCCAATTAGTATTGAATTTTCTACTTGGGTCAATCTTCTAAATAATCAGTTTGTCTTGGATAAACGATTTTGATGATGCACTGCTGCAAGTGAGTTCCTTTCCTCCGGCTGAAATCCATTTGGCATTACTCATAAGTCTACAAAACTCAGTGCGAGAGTAATGAAAACGCTGACTTTTAGACATGTGCCTCAATCAATGACTTTCAATTGGAATTTTACATCATGTTCCTAATATGTAATGACAACTAAACATTTAAAAAAAACCTCAATTGTATTTTATCAGAACTCATAAATCGTTATTTTGTTTTGTATCTTATTTGTAGTGCCTATGGGAAGCAGACAAAAAAATACCACGCTGGAGATTTTCATGTTTCAATGGACCCAATCCATGTTTCAGCATAATTTCTGTGAACAAACCAATTAAATAATGCTTTGGGAAGCATCCTTGTTTAGCTTCTTGAAGTAGAATGATTACCATTGGGCAACTTAAATGCAGGTCGAAAATATATAAGAAGTTAATAATCCCTGTGTTTGTTCACACCAGGAAGTGCTTCACAGGATTTACTATAATGTGCAGTGATTGTAATTTGCAGGTGAACATTTCAACTACAAAGTGAATGACCAATTTTATGTGGGGGATTGTTGGCCAGGACAACAGAAGAAGAAGAAGAAGGTCGAAAACAGTACCATGGGATCTTTATCTTCCTCCTGAACAAACAGATGAGATCTCAGTTTAATACCTCATCTTTGATGATTAATAATGTACTGAAACATATACTGCGCCTAAATTGTAAAAACAGATCACCACCAACTGCAATATAGAGCACAAAATAACGGGTAAAAAGTAGCCACTTTCCAGGATAGGTAAATTAAACATTCACAGGCTATTTATAAAAGTTGGTTAAGACCAGCCACATAAATGCAGCAATTTCATTCTAATCCATATTCTGTCGAACTCACTGCTTTGAGTTGATAAATTGAACAATTTAAAACATGTTTTACACAACCTTATAAATCAAGCTAGCTACCAGAATGTTTAAAACAACAAATGGAAGAGTTATTTCCAAGTGTAGTACTTCATAGATCATTACTTGGTCTGGTCTTATGGAACAGAAGAGTGCTTTTACTGGGAGAGCCCTTGAAGGTCAGCATTACTCAGTAAATTTTGAGCAGCATCACTCAGCAAAAGATCAAACAATAATTTGGGGATAATAGGTAGTTGACTGGGTTTTAATTTCTATAACAGGACTTTTTCATTGAGTGGGGGTGCAGCAATTTGAATTTAATTTCAATTTAAACAGCTTTTCATTGCGTCTGGAGGCTGCACGAAAGAGCTCCAACCAATGGAGATTGTAAAAAAGTGACCCAACAACCACACACTTGTGTTAGGAGGAGAGAAGACAACCATGTAACAATTTCAAAACACTTTAAACAAAGAAAGTTAACTACTTAATCTTATAGTTTGCCAAGTTGCATTTACTGTAATGTATAATACAGGCTCCTTATTTATGTTCCAGGCATACCAGTGGAGGTGCAACATTGCAAGCTTCTGCTGCTGTCAGAAGAGGAGTGCACAGTCATTACCAGTCCATTCAGGCTTATAATGAGGCATAGGACACTTTTCTTACATTTGATTTTCACAATATTCTCCTGAACCCTGACACTGCAACCACCAGTGAATTGATCAAAACTATAGCTATACTCCCTCCTTAAAATTTAAATGTTGAGATCAGTGAAGGATATATTGTTTTAAAACAAAAGAACATCCACAGGGGAAAAAGTCTACTGTAATGCCTGTATGGTTAACACAATACAGGTATCCTGACTGGTGTTCAATTAAATTAGGGACAATAACATTTTATAAATTAGAGACTACACTTTCCAATTAACAACAACAACAACAACAAGATTCCATTTATAGAGCGCCTTTCACGTCAGGAGGACGTCCCAAGGCGCTGCACAGTTGGGTCATGACCCGAGCAGGGGGAAATGGTCAGGGTGAGGGGAGGGAAGGGAGGGAGAGAGGAGGGGGAAATGGTGAGGGGAGGGAAGGGAGGGAGCGAGGAGGAGGAAGAGAGTCGAGAGGGGAGCTGAAGGCACGGTCAAAGAGAAAGGTTTTGAGACCGGCCTTGAAGGAGGAAAGGGAGGAAGCAAGGCGAAGGCACTGGGGGATGGAGTTCCAGAGCCTCGGGGCTGAGAGGCTGAAGGCCCGACCACCGATAGTAGGGCGGTTGGGGCGGGGGACGTGGAGCAGACCGGAGCCAGAGGAACGGAGGGTACGGGCAGGTAGGTAGGGGGATAGTAGGTTGGAGAGGTAGGAGGGAGCAAGGCCGTGAATGGCCTTGTAGGTGAGGATTAACTTATTTGATGGATTCCAAGCCCCCCAAAAATGTAAAGCACTGACTAATGCTCTAATGTGGGTCCAGGGGGCAATCATATATCCAACAGCAAATACCAAATGCAAAAGTCAAGCCCACTGCATGACGCAGTGGGTGTGCATTGGAGGAATTCAAGTTAAGCGAGGCAGGTAGAATTAGTCCTGCTGTTGCCAGATATACTTCAAAATCAATGGGAGTGAATTTTCAAACTTCCAGATTAACAGGATTTCGACCAGGCAGTGCCAAAGAATATGACAGGATACTAAAAAAAAATAAAAGGGTAAACTCCCCTTTTAAGTGCACCAAGGTATTGCAAAAAAATGCAGGGTACATTATTGCAATTCAATAGACAAGTCACATAACTTGAGATGAAGAGGTTATATATTGTGAAATACAACAAATTAACATATTACAAGAAGAAAATAATTCACTTACTGCCTTTTCTGATAGGTTCAACGTAGGTAGGTGCAAGGTTCGAGTATGGGATGTCTTCCAGTCCACAGGCATTACATTTCCATAGTTATCAGTCAATGCATTCCAAATCCTGAATGTAAAAACACAAGTAAATCCCATGAGAATGAGAGAAAAAACATGGTTAACCATGTAAGCAGAGTCAGCCTCACTACAATCTTCACACTAACAGAACAAGGCCTCTATTTATTCAAGTATAGAAGGTATAGTATCCCCAACATTTGCTGCACCTTTGAATTCTCTCCCATTCTTGCCCGACTCCAATGGCTTCCTATCCTTCAGAGGATCCAGTTCAAAATCCTGGTTCTCATACACAAAGCCCTCCATGGCCTCGCCCCACCCTACCTCTGTGACTTCCTAATCCCCTACCAACCCGCCCGCTCCCTCCGCTCAGCCGGCTCTGGCCAGCTCCACAACCCCCAACCCACCCGCCCCACCATTGGCGGGAGAGCCTTCAGCCACTCTGCCCCCAACCTCTGGAATTCCATCCCCAATCACTCCGCCTCACTCCCTCTTTAGCCTCCTTCAAGTCCCACCTCAAAACCCTCCTCTTCAACCATGCCATCGGCCACCCCTTTCCCCTCCCTTCTCCCCACCCCCCGACCCCAACTCGGGTCTGAAATGCTGTACACCGTCCAACGCCTTCTGACGTCCTCCCGACGTGAAAGGCGCTATGCAAATGTAATCTTGTTGATGTTGTTGTATTAACTAAACTCCATACCCCATCACATCAGTCCTCTTCATGCTCCACTGACTCCCAATCACAGAACAGATCAATTTCAAGTTCTTCTCACTCGTCTACAAATCCCTTCTCACCCTGGCACCTCCCTACTTTTCTGACCTGCTTTCTCCACACTCTACTGCCCGTTGCTACTACTCGGCTGACTGTAGCCCCCTGTTCATCACTTGCCCCTCAGCTCCAACATCAGCGGCTATGCTTTCAACCACCATGCCCTGAAGCTTTGGAACTCTCTTCCTCAATCTCTCAGCCTAGGCCCCTCCTTCCCCTCTTTTAGATCATGACTGAAGATTTTCCTTTTGGACTGTGCTTACAGTCACCTCCTCCCTCCCCATCGTTCAGGGTCAGGCTCCGCCGCTGTTAAGCGCTCTGAGACGCTGCCCTGCGTGAAGGGCATTATATAAATGCATGTTATGCTGTGCATCTTTGTATACCAAAAATGAGCTGGCAATTAGTTGTTATAAATCCTATAATGATTGCAATTTAAGAAGGTAAGGAATATTTTCTTTCTACCTCACTCCTCTCCTGAAGTCATTTCTTGATGATAAAATATAGTTGTATAGATGTAAGATGTCACAAGTTCAGTTTGAATAAAGAGGGCATTTGATCTCATCCTTCCAGAATATCATGCCTACCATCACTGCATCAAGCCGTTTTTTAAATGTCCTGGCTGCAAAAACCCTTCCTGGCAACCTGTTTCAGTGGTTAGTTGCCCTCTGGTTAAAGAAGCTCTTAGTATCTGTCCTGAAATTGCCCTTTGCAATCCTAAACCTGGTCTCTTGTTAGACGGAAGGAGAGGTAGGATCTGAACCATTCAAGGGCAGAATCACGAAAGTTGAGGTAAGAGGAGAGGCAGTGGAGGAAGATAGAGTGGTCAACGGTATCAAAGGCAGCAGAGAGGTCAAGGAGGACGAGGAGGCAGAGGGAGCCCTGGTCGCAGATGGACAAAATGTCATTTGTCACTTTGACCAAAACTGTTTCTGTGCTGTGGGCGGTACGGAACCTGATTGGAGGGGTTCATGAAGAGAGGGGAGAGGAATGAGTGAAGCTGGGAAGCAACGACTCCTTCCAGGACCTTGGAAAGGAAAGGGAAGTTAGAGATGGGGCGGTAATTTGAGAGCAGGGATGGTCCAGGAAGGTTTATTTTTTTAAGGGGAGGAGTCACGACGGCCATTTTTAAAAGGGTGGGAACGGTGCCAGTTGACGAAGAGTTTATAATATCTGTGAATAGTGGGGCAAGGAGGTGGAGCTGGGAGGTAAGTAGACGTGTAGGGATGGGGTTGAGGGAGCAGGTGGTTGGTGTCATGTGGGTTATAGTGGTGGTGAGAGAGGAGTGGGAGACAGGTTCGAAAATGTGGAGGGAGGGAAGGGTAGGGGCCAGGGTGTGAGAAGGAGATGGGGGCGGGGAATAGTCAGAAGGGCAAAGGCAGCTGAGTGGATCCCCTCGATTTTGGTTTTGAGGAAGTCCAGCATCTCCTTAAATTTGGGGCTGGAGGCTCCGTGACCACATCACTCCCACCCTCGCTCGCCTCCACTGGCTCCCCATCCCCCAGAGGATCGAATTCAAGATCCTCATCCTCACCTACAAGGCCATTCACGGACTTGCTCCCTCCTACCTCTCTGACCTACTATCCCCCTACTTACCTGCCCGTACCCTCCGTTCCTCCGGCTCCGGTCTGCTCCACGTCCCCCGCCCCAACCGCCCTACCATCGATGGCCGGGCCTTCAGCCTCTCAGCCCCTAGGCTCTGGAACTCCATCCCCCAGTGCCTTCGCCGCCTCCTCCCTTTCCTCCTTCAAGGCCGGTCTCAAGACCTTTCTCTTTGACCGTGCCTTCAGCTCCCTTCTCGACTCTCTACCCCCTCCTCGCTCCCTCCCCTCACCCTGACCATTTCCCCCTTGCTCGGGTATTGACCCAACTGTCCAGCGCCTTGGGACGTCCTCCCGACGTGAAAGGCGCTCTATAAATGGAATCTTGTTGTTGTTGTAGGAGAGGATGGGCGAGGCATGGGAGGGTGGGCGGAGGAGCCGGTTGGTGATGGAGAAGAGTAGCCTGGGCAACCACCTCCCTGTGTCATTCAAAAGTATGACTTTCACAAGCGCTTGTATCTTCTTTTATACTAATAAAACAACAATGTCTGTGTGTGTATCAGCCAAGATCTCAATAACCGATGGAGGACGTCCCAAGGCGCTGGACAGATAGTGTTACGGACCCGAGCTGAGAATCGGGGTGGGGAAGGGTCTGGGGCAGGGGGGGAAGCAGGGAGATCGAAAGCACGGTCGAAGACGAGGGCCTTGAGGTGGGTCTTGAAGGTGGCGACGGAGGGGGTGAGATGGAGGGACTGCGGGATCGAGTTCCAGAGGGTGGGTGCAGAGTGGCGGAAGGCCCGCCCGCCAATAGCGGGACAAGCAAGGTCAGTATTCTGCAGTTCTGTAATAATTGTTTTAGGATTGGTTTATTCCCATGCTTACAATTTTGCCCCTTGCATCCAAATTATCATTTGTAGTCCAAGGAAATCTCAGTGCTGTCCAATCCATTTTGATTTGTACCATGGAACAGCCAGACACACGTTCTTCTAGGTTAGTGAATCTCATCCACTGATTTGATGGGAAGACATAAAATGGAATGTTTTTTTAAAATATCTCATTCCAACATTAACAATATTAATAGTTTCTATATAAAGGTAGCACATCTCCAGCCAATGCTGAGTTAAGGTGTGTAGCACAGGAACGGAGTTAGGGGAGGGGAGAAAAGGAACAGAGACGAAATCAAACAATGTTATCTTGTATGGGCATTGGGCAAGGTCAACGTAAAACCCAGCTGGGTTAGGGTCCTCTATCCAATAGTTTGCAAATACTCCCTCATCTAAATTCATAGCCCCTTGTGAGAGGTATCGTGGAGCACTCACAGAACCAACCCTAGGATGAGTTCATGCCATCAGATGAGGAGAGAAATGAAGTGCAAAAAAAATTCTTTGGAGAGGGCAGAACTGTGCTACATAGTGAAGACACCAAAAGTACTCGAGGTATGATGTCACACAAATCTCCTTTCGTGTCCAAATAGTGTATCCATGCAAATTTTCCTGCAATTTTGTAATCTCTGTCACATCAAGGACCTGAAATTTCTCATATTCTAAATCTAAGTAGTCCCAAATTAATTTCATATACTTAAGTCTATTTAGAAAACAGTCTGGAATTTGGTCTTAATTTGGAAACTGATTTTTCCCCCTTTTTAAGTACTGTAGAAAAGTACAAGACCGAAATTAAGACCGATTCCTGTACAACCTTAAATTTTAAGACAATCTTCAGCCCAAGAATTTCATTGTGATGTTGGACCATGGAGATTCCACACCAATGCATTTACCAATTTTTTTATACTTTGGTAACTGTAAGACAAGCATTTCAAAACCAATTTAATAATCCTATTATTTAAACTACTAAGTTTACACTCTCGCCTCTACCACCTTTTTGTTTACTTTTCTTTTTGTTCTTTCCTGTATCATTATCTCACTGCTGTTACAATTTTTCATCAGCGTCTCTCATTTGCACATTTCTTTTGTTCCCTCCTATAACTGCTACATTAAGCACCAAACCTGCAGCTGTTTTATACCAACAACAAAGGAAAAGATAATGGATAGGACAAATTTAATAGGTATAAAAAGGGATTTTCCAAAAAAAGGGATATTCAAAAAAGGGATTTTCAAAAAGAGGATTTTAGTGACAAAATAAAATGACAATTTTTTTCTCATGAAATTCCATTTTTTCATGATACAATTTCTGATAAATCCATAAAAATTAGCAGATTCTAATGTGTATTTTTTTCTGAAATGGTAATTATCCTTTATGTTAGGGGTCCTTGTGTGATAAGCATTGTACAAAGCATGCCTTTTACATTAAGAATTACTGGATCCAAAAGATGCTTCTTAAAAATCACTGGTGATTGTTGCAAAAAGAAACACTGATCAAGCTGAACATTGCTGCTGCTTGTCAGCTTCAAAGCCATAATAATCGGTAAGTACAGACAGGAAGAATAGACTGCTGGGGATTTCTGGCAACAAGAACAGCTCTTTTGTGGTAACATAAGACAGTCAATATTAACAATATTTATATTTAGTTGAGGGTTTATATTTTAATCCTCAACTTTCCTGCAACAAAAATGATTGAGGTAGGACTGTGCCAATTAAAGATTAATTAGTATGGATGTTTAAGAGAAAATTGTGATCAGCTTGGATGTCTGGCACATGCAGAAACCCATCACCATGCTTAAGAGTATCCAAACCAGACAGACAATGTAATGTCATCTAAATATGGACATTTCCCAGTTTCTAGAATGGA